GGGGTAGAGGAGCCAGGAGCACCAGGAGCACCGGGGGTAGAGGAGCCGGGAGCGCCAGGAGCGCCAGGAGCGCCAGGAGCACCAGGGCTAGATGAACCAGGTTGTCCGGGAGTGGAAGAGCCAGGAGTAGACGGAGTAGATCCGCCGGGCACGACAGGAACAACGGGCACAACGCCAGTGGGAGATCCAGGGACGGAAGGCACAGTAGTACCAGGAGCAACAGGTACCGGCTGGGTTCCACTGGGGATGCTGGTGGTGTTCAGGAAAGGTCCGGGCTTGGTGGTAGGAACAGTGCCGTTAGCGGGGATGGTGTGACTGGGGAAAGGAGCTGGGGGAAGTCCAGTGCCAATGATAGGAGCAGTGCCTTGGCTGGTGGTTGGCTTGATGGGAGCAGTGCCGTGGCTGGTAGTCGGCTTGATAGGAGCAGTTCCATGACTGGTGGTTGGCTTGATGGGAGCAGTGCCGTGGCTGGTAGTGGGCTTGATGGGAGCAGTGCCGTGGCTGGTAGTCGGCTTGATGGGAGCAGTGCCGTGGCTGGTAGTGGGCTTGATGGGAGCAGTGCCGTGGCTGGTGGTTGGCTTGACAGGAATGACAGTACCAGTGGGGTTGGGCTTAGGCTGGGGCTTCACGCCAGTGGGCACTGGCTCCTTGCCGGTGGGGACAATAGTCTTGCCCTCCTCCTCGCACCATGTGGTGGTCAAAGTAACGGTGTTGGTGAGAGTGATGGGCACCGTAAGAGTCTTGTTGCCAGAGACAACGACAGTGGTGGTTTCTGAAAGCTATATTAGACACGGCCTGCTTGAGAAAGTACGCGCGAGCATAACGAACCTGGGGTCTCAGTGGTCACATAGGTAGTAGTCTTGGTGATGGTACGGGGAGGGTCGGTGGTGAGTACAAGCTTCTTGGTAGTGGCTGGCTTCTTCTCGTCGGGCTGGAGGCTTCTTAGCATGTCAATCGGAATGGGTACGCGTTTGCATTAAGCTTACCTCTCCGCCACGCCCTTGGATGACACCGGCAAGGGCTGGGGCAGCCAAAGCCAGGAGTGCAATAGTTCCCTTGACCATTTCGAAGGTTGGAATTTTTTTTTGATGCGAAAGGCTCAAACAACACAGCTTTTGATATAAACGAGAGATGAAGAAGGAACAGCGAGTGGCTTCCGTACGGCACAAGGTGGAATAGAGAAGGAAGAAACGATCCGATGAAGCAGAATGTCTCGACCTTTAAATCTTCTCGACGAAGAGCCTGACGACTATGCACACGACAGTCGTCACTGACGATGGTGATAATGCCACAGTAGTATCCTTTGGTTAGCGAAGTACGGCGCAAGTGTTGTAAGGTTCAGGAGCAAAAGTAAAGCTCATCGATGCTAGCTCTGGTAGGCTACGAGACGCAGCTTGAGGCTAACCAAGCCATGGATGCGAAAGGGACCACCGATGTGATGCTGTGCGTCAAGCCAAAGGGTCTCTCAGATGGCGAGCTGTTGCGCGAATGTAACGTCTTGCTACATCTTCTTGGACAGAGGCCCACAGTACCCACGTCAGTGAGCCACGATCCTCGGACACGATGCTAGATGGCTGTACTTAGATAGGAAGTCAAGAGCAGTATTGTCGTCATGACTTTGCGCGAGTACTCCGGTTTTCAAATTGGGAAGCTGGAAACCCCCCGGCTATCACCGTGATCTATGCTAGTGCAAGCCAAACTAATCAAGCAAAGCGGAGACAAGCCTGCTGAGAAGGGAAGTGCTACCGGAATTTGCGTTCCATTATGGAGTATTGAGCCCTGAAAAGCGGAGTTAAGCTTGTAGAAATGCATGGATTGGCTCGCAAGGCTCTGTAGCTGACACATTCGAAAAAGCTTTGCAGGAATGTGGAGTCGCTCGAGGTCCGCCTGCCTGTAACGTTGCAGGTAAGTTTGTCGGGTCAAGGATCAGGGCAGGGACAGAAAGCAAGAAAGCAAATAAAGCACGGGCAGTACAGGCATATGCTCACGAAGTACATTAGGTAGCTGGTTTGAGCATTCTATCTGGACAATGTAGTCCATATGGCCTTATGACGAGATCCAGGTCATGGCATCATTAAGGAATGTCAATCGAACCCGAGATAGGTCGCTGTCACACAGTCGAATAGGCTATCTAAGAAAACTTCAAGGCCCATCGAGCTTCGAAAGATCTGGTGCCGTACTGTGGAGCGGCCGTTTTCGAAGCTGGCGAGAGAGTCGTTGAGATGAGAAGCCGGTAATGTTTCATTGGAGTGAGTGGATAATGTGGCTACCTAGGTAGTCGCTGTGAGAGCAATGTAAGACGTCATTGAAGCAAAGCTCGTTGAGCCACTTGACAGGAACCATGGCCGCAAGCGGCAATAGCAGATGGCAAGTGTTCCTGCAGGGGTGGTACCAGACAGAACTTGGCAAACATGATTGTGAAGCTCTGCAGGAGCCAACCTTAGTATACTTCGTACTTCGTACTTGGTCGCTTTCTCGGTGGGTCGGCGGTACCTTGCTGACTCATCGCCGTTTGCAGCAAGGTATCACGTGGAGATAAGCTCCCTTCAGCTCAGCTATCGTATCAGGGCTTAGGGCAAGCGGCACGTGGGAACGCGTCTTGGAGCGCGTTAATGGTTTTACTGTGCTGCGGTAGCTGAGAGATGGATGCAGTGAACAACAAGACAATCCACAACATCACCCCTATGATGCCTCACTCAGTGCCCTCGCAAGGCTCGTCAGCCGATCGCAAAGATGAGGACGTTCTACCAGACGCTCCGCCAGCGGAGAGCACCTCCGAAGATAAGACCGATGCACCCGACAATGCAGCAGCAGGCGTAAAATTAGAAGACCTGTTCAATGACGACGACGATGATGAAGAATACCCAGCTTCTAGCGCTCCAGTTGCTCAGAATCAGGACACGATGCAGACAGAGTAGGTTTCGCGCCGACACTCACCAAGGCATTCCGGTACTGATAGAAGTTACTCGTTCAGCGCCGTCCCTGCTCCCGGTCCAGAGGTAGACACAGACACCATGCTCGCATTCTACCAACGCCTCTTTCCATTCCGCTACCTGTTCCAATGGCTTAATCACGGAATTGTTCCTTCACCCGATTTCGGCAATCGCGAATTCGCCCTCACACTCCAGAACGACGCCTACCTCCGCTACCAATCATATGCAACGGCAGATCTGTGAGTACCACGGGATTGATGCACAAGTGCCATATCAGAACTCTGTTCTAACGGGTTGAAAGCTTCCGCAAGGATATCATCCGGATGAACCCGTCTCGATTCGAAATCGGACCTGTCTACAACACCAACCCCCGAGATCGCAAGACGCTCCGCGGCGGCCAGTTGAAGCCCATCTCCAAGGAACTCGTCTTCGATATTGATCTGACGGATTACGATGACATCCGCTCCTGCTGTACGAAAGCCAACATCTGCGGCAAATGCTGGGCATTTGTGACCATGGCGATCAAGGTCGTCGATACGGCCCTCCGCGACGACTTCGGCTTCGAGCACATCCTCTGGGTATACTCCGGTCGCCGCGGTGCGCACGCCTGGGTGTGCGACCCCCGCGCGCGCAGCCTGCCGGACGACCGACGCCGGGCCATCGCCGGGTACCTGGACGTGGTGCGGGGCGGCAACAGCAGCGGCAAGCGGGTGAACCTGAAGCGACCGCTGCACCCGCACATGGCGCGCAGCCTCGACATCCTGAAATCCCACTTCGCGCAGACGACGCTGGTCGACCAGGACACCTTCCTCGGCCCCGAGCAGGCGCAGCGCCTGCTGGCCCTCCTGCCGGACAAAGGGCTGAACGAGTCGCTGCGCAAGAAGTGGGAGTCCTCGCCCGACCGCACCAGCGCCAAGAAGTGGGCCGACATCGACGCCCTCGCCAAGACGGGCAAGAGCAGCACCCTGAACCCGACCACGCTCCGCGACGCCAAGCAGGACATCGTGCTGGAGTACACTTACCCCCGGCTGGACTCCGAGGTCAGCAAGAAGATGATCCACTTGCTCAAGAGCCCGTTCGTCATCCACCCGGGCACGGGCCGCGTGTGTGTCCCCATCGACGCCCGCAAGGCAGAGCAGTTCGACCCCCTCTCGGTGCCGACGGTGACGCAGCTGCTCGCCGAGATCGATGCGTGGGATGCGGAGCATCCGAGCACCAATGCCGGACTGGAGGCGGCCGAGGGCGAGGGTAGTATCGCGGACTCGGACGCGAGGGGAAGCCGCAGAGTACAGGATTATGAGAAGACGAGCCTGAAACCATACATCGACTACTTCCGCTCCTTCATCGCCGGTCTTCTCAAGGAAGAGCGTGGTGGCAAACGGGAACGGAATGAGGACGTTGAGGAGACAAAGCCTGAGAGTATGGAGTTCTAGGCTTCTGAGTTTCGCCTCCTAGGTGAATGGCGGTCTTTATGGTTTTAATTCTCTCAAGCCCTAGCCTGGGTAGCATTATTTTTGGGTATAATCTTGGAGCAATTTGGGAGTATGTCCTTTGAAAGTGAATATTTCAGGCGTTCGAAGAAGGGTCACGGGGCCTTTCCCCTGTGTTTTGTGTAAATATTGTGATGGTTCTTACTCTTCTATTCATTTCCGACTGCAGACTGAGCTCAATAAGTGGTTATGAGAATCAATACGAATCAACATGAGCCATGTTTCCAGTCAAAATTACATTTTTTTGTGAAATTCGATTCTATGTTGTTACATTGTAGGACTGTCAGACGAACAGCACTACCTCATTATTGACCATAAAGCCTGCTTTGGAGAAGACAGGAGTGACAGATGATATAGTTGCGAAACTCAAAACGCATCATTCAATAGCATGCCGTGCAGGAATCGGGAAGAAGAACGTCCGTGTCCGCCTGATCTAAGCAGAAACGAAGTTCTTGACATCTGAACAGAGGTTTAGCAAATGCTTATAGGGAAGTAATATCGGTGGGTCACGTACTCTCGAGCCAGCGGACGTACTCCTTCTGCTCCTTGACCTGGATGTAGTCGGGGATCATGGTGGCAAGCTCGGCGTTGATGCCTCTCACGTCAAGGTAGCGGTCAATGAAGTTCTGAAGCTCCTCGTCGAGGTTCTCGAAAGGAGGACCGGCGTACAGGCTCTGTCTGGCCCAGTCCTTCTCGGCGGTCTGGGCAAGAGCCAGATCGGGCTTGTTGAAGTAGGAGACCTCCTCAACCTGGAACACGCCATCGGTGCACATGGTCTGGATCAGGAGAGCGCCGCTGCCTGGCTTCTCAATGGTGATGTTGACACGAGCGGGGAAGCCGGGCTCAAGATCGTCGATGCCGACCTCGTCGCGGTCGGAGGGAGCGATACGGTCCTCGGGAAGCTGGGAGATGCCTGCGCGACCTTGGTTAGCAGGCTGGTGGCTTCCGAAGTCGTTGGCGTCCATCAGACCATCAGCGGAGAAATCCTCCTGCTCGCTCAGGTTTTCGAGGTCTGCAACGGTGAAAGTAAGGCGGATCCTATAGAGAAGTACAAACGATTAGAATAATTGTTAAAGAGGAAAACGCGGGCACAAGCTTCCTTACTCTTCCTTGCCGAACTTCTTGGTCAAAGTGACTTCCTGCTCGCCGGGAATATCCTTGACCTGGAAAAAACCATGATGTGTGAGCTAATGCAGTCAGAACAACGATTGTCCGAAAGCACGTACCTCCCAAGAGTTGTTTTGCAGAACATACTGGATGTTCTGAACGGAGCCATCCAGGTCCTCAAGGCCGGAGGCCTTCTCGTGCTTGAGCTCATCCTCAAGCTTGGCAACAAGCTCGACGTCACCTATTATGCTCGTACAACAGGTAGTCAGTTTTGTGCGCCATAAAAAGTCATCTGCAGTCCATGACCGAAGCTTCCAATGCTTGAACGGGACAGGAATTTGGATACAAGGTGATGGGTAGAAGCCCGAAAAACATGAGAGAAAAAATGGAATCGATGCGCTCGAATGGGAGGCTGCAGATTACAATATTTCATCCCGGGAAAATTCTCTTACCCTCGCCGGGGGCCTGCTTGAAAGCCCGGGAGGTCGAAAAAGCAGCATAGGCAGGCTTGGTGATCTGCTTCAAGGTGAAAGCATTCTGAGAAACAGCGACAACAGGTCTGGAGACAGTTGCGCGGGTGGAAACTGCGAGAGAACGCGCAATGGAGCGGGGGGCGGAGCGAGTAAGAGTGCGAAGGGACATCATCTTGAAGATAGTGGATGGATGGTAGATGGATTGAAGCTGAAAGTCAAATGGGAAAAATGAATGGGGTGGGATGATGGTAGGAATGCGGAAGAGGCAAAGTGATGATGTGAACAAGAGGAGCCTGGAGTCTCAGGCATCTCCACTTTCCAAAGCTCTTCCCGTGCCAAGACCTGGAGCTCCATCCATGAAAGTACAGCACAGTGCGTACTTCATTTACTGGTGATTCAAGAAAAACCATATGATATGATATGTGTGTACATGTGAATTATATGCAATCATAACGCCATAGTCCCATGAGATTCCCGCGACAAAGCACCCAACTTTTTGCAATTCGGAACACAGAAGACGAACAAAATCTTTCAAGACATTCCCTTGGGGGGAAATACTGAAGGCTGCTTGCCTCCATCCTTAGTGATCCGGATGAACTTCATCGTGCTCAAGCCAGACCAATCGCCATTCCAAGCCCTAAGCGAGTTGATCACACCCTGCTCACTGAGGTCAGGCAACCAAAATCCCGTCTTAAACTCCTTGTTCTCGACATCGGTTCGCTGCAGCAGCGCTTCTTCCCGCTTGCTTGGGGGTCTGCCTTTCCGTCTCTCGCTCTGTAACTGCTCGATCTCGGGCACACTACGGTTGATATACCTGGTTTGTACGTGAGCATTCAAAGCGCACGAAGCTATGATTGGCCCTTGCGCCGCCGGCACATACCTCACCACGATATCCTTCATCTCGTCTTCCGACATGGGTGTCGCATCCTCGGGCAGGGTCTCGTAGAAGTATGCAATGCGGTCGACTGTGTATCATGGGATCAATCAATGAAAAGTCCTTGGAGCGAGACAAGAGTGGCGCAGTGCTAGGCCCTCACCATAGGTTTGTCTGCCCCGCGACATATTGGCGGACACTCGAGCGACTCGGTCATCTCTAGCGGTGGCGCGGCGTAATCTTCTGGCATCTCTGCTGAACTCGTGAAGAGCCTCAACCGCTCCTCTCTTCTTCGCAATGTGCTTGTGTACTTTCTGTAGCGTCTTCGGCATGGTGACGTTTTGTTTCTCCTGTCTGATTTTAAATTGTTGCAATGTCGTCCAGTTTATCAGCGATTTTTTTCCCCTCGGCGAATTTCTTTTTTTTTCGGCGGGCAGAATGCAATGGCGGTGAGGAAGGGTACTCAGGCCGCTCACATGAAACCAATCAGAACATGAGATGGCTTCCCTCGCCCCATCGCGTTCCTGGCGCGTCGGAGGGGATGAAGATCAAGCATTCCAACCTCGTTGTCTAGGTCATTGTCGTTTGCTGGTCGCTTAGGGGTGGGACGTCTTTTTCCATCATTTGATTAGGAGCCTTCCCATGGTCCTCGCCCTCATCATCTGGCTTGACCCCTGAGCACCTACAGCCGGAGCAGATCTCTGTCTTGGCGGTGCCGGTATAGAGAGCGCGGCCTGCCATCTCGTCAATAGGGTACTGACAATGGGAATTAAAGGTGACCCTTGTCTTTGCGAAAGCGCTTGGGAGTCGTCTCTAACTATTCGTGTTCCTTCTAGGCCTTCATGTTCTTCTTAAATCAATCCAGAAACCATGTCACCTGAAAAGTTATAGTGGGCAGACTTTGGGAGTCGATGCCTACGGATGGCTACATCGTGGTACGGTCGCATGCGCCGTGGATTTGGTCTTGGACAAGCCCACACGAAAGTACGTACCTGTAGGCTTGCCATCTGACTGCTTTCCGCTAACATACATAAAAGACACATTGACTTTGTTCTTAATCGGGTTCGCATGCTTATCTACTTTGGAGTGACGCCATACCTTGTATTCGACGGAGATAATCTTCCTAGCAAAGCTGGCACTGAAGATCGACGCCAGAAAAGGCGACATGACGGCAAGTCACTTGGGATGGAATTGCTCCGAAAAGGCCGCACGAAGGAAGCCTACCAGGAACTACAGAAGGCGGTCGACGTGACTCCTCTGATGGCGCGTGAGTTGATCGAAGAACTGAAGCAAATGAATGTGCAGTATGTGGTAGCTCCGTACGAGGCCGATGCACAGTTGGTATACTTGGAGCAGCAGGGTATCGTTCATGGCATTATCTCAGAGGACTCCGACTTGCTTGTGTTTGGCGCCAAGCGCCTGCTGTCCAAGCTTGATCAACATGGTGACTGCATCGAGATCAATCGGGCGGACTTCGGGGCTTGTCGGGACGTCAGCCTGATAGGATGGTCGGATGATGACTTTCGAAGCATGTGCATTCTCGCCGGTTGCGACTATTTAGCCAATATTCCACGGATGGGTCTGAAGACGGCTCATCAAAGCATACGGAGGTACAAAAATGTCGACAAAGCCGTGCGGATGCTCCAGTTTGACGGCCAGTATCACGTTCCTGCGGATTACTTGAAGAGTTTCAAGGAAGCGGAGCTTACTTTCCTCTATCAGCGAGTCTATTGCCCCAAGGCCGAAAAGCTGGTGACGCTCACAACACCTGAAAGTGATGTCAATCTAGAAGAGTTGACCTTCATCGGCGGTGATGTGGAGCCTGAGGTTGCGGTGGGAGTGGCTCGGGGGGACCTGGATCCAGCGACCAAGCAACCTCTGGTATTGAAGCCGCCAGCTGCAGCGAAGTCTACCGAGAAACGACTCACAAGCACTTTCCAACGTCGACAAACACTTGGATCAGCGGCCGAGTTGAAGCCCAACAAACCCATCAATTCTTTCTTCACTCCAAGACGTACGCCGTTAGCTGAACTCGATCCGAATAGCCTCACGCCGTCCCCAAGCCAGCAACGGCTCCTCGAGCGTCACGCTAATACTTCCTGGGAGAGTACTTCCGTTCCGACGCAGCCAACCCTGATGAGGTCAGCCTCCTCTGCTACGTTGTCGAGCAGATTCTCCAGTCCCTTGATGAGAAGTGTCGAGCGGGACTCTTTTAATCCTCACGCCTTGAGGCTGTCTGCTCTGCAACCCTCTAAGCGACAGCGCCTCTGTTCAGATATAGATGAGGGACAGTTGCCAAGCGCATCTACTTGTCGCAGTCGATTCTTTACAAACAGTACTGATGAGTCTAGCCCGAGCGGACTCAAGATCAATCGAACTAAGAAGGCTCGGAAACACTCTCTGGACGTCTTCTCGGATGATTCTGTAGAGGATATGATGTCTCAGATTCCGGATCCTGCCGAGACACCTGCGAAAGCTAAGAGCGATGAGCACCAAGAAACGGGGCCAAGTCAACCCCTCGACGCATCAGATGTGCCCCCGCAATCCACGAAAGCTGATGCCGAGGATCACCTGGATCACAGGTTGGAGCAGAAGCAAGAAGTGCCGTCGGATTCCATTCAACTTACTGAGAGCAACCCCAGGGCTGTCAGTCTGGAGTCCAATCCGGAGGAGTTCCAGAAAGTTCTCGACTATCACATCGAGAAGCAAAACTCAGGGCTGCTTTCGAGGTTTGCATTCCAGCGGAGAGGCAGCAGCGTTCGCTCGGAGAGTGTCACTCGGACAGAACCCAATGCACGGCCCATGCCAGTTATCTCCTTCTCAAAAGCGAAAGCACCAATGGACCTGAGAAGCGGAAGTCCACGGACGCCGCCTAGACGTGGACGGACAACGCCCTTGCAACGACTGGGGCAAAGTGCCCTGGCTAGGTCTCGATCTCTTAACCATCTTTCATCCTCTCTCGCCGCATTTCGGGCATCAAAAGTCTCGCTTACTCCATCTGAGCCCAACAATAGCAGTCTCGGTAGCACCCAGAATCTCATGCCGACCTGCCATGGGAGTGAAGACATGATCATTCCGGATAGTGAAGACGATGAAGAAGACGATCTGGAAGAACCCGACGCTAATGCGAATGGAGGCTTGCAGACCCCAGTCGCTATTGATCTCAAGCGTTTCTCCTTTGTAGGTTGAGACAAACTCTTGGAGTGCTTGGGGGACAATCGACTTATCATTATCATTATAGGAGTTCTTGGGAGCATTGTTAGTTTTGTGTATCATGGCATTGGGTGGGTGATTTGACATACAGTACAGTACAGTACATGACCGAGAGGTGCTTGGCCGTATAAATAATAGGATCTACATGGGATTGACCGTATACCCCTTAGTTGCAAAGCATCTGGCCAGACTATGACATAAGTTGGTGTTTGGGTGTGCTTAGTTCCATGGAAAAGTTGGAGGCTGGGGGGGAGTGGGCACGTGCCGATAAGATGATCGGGGGGCTTAGCGCGATCAGTGGAGTTCACGGCGGATCCAATGGAGTGAAATGACGGCGGGCGGTGTGGACTGGTTACCGGGGAACAGACGCGGTAAACAAACGGGAAGTGGCAGGCAGTGGCCCAGCCTCCCGCTTTTGGCCCTTCTTCGGGCTGAAGTAGAGCATTACCTAGTTATTGTATGAGTGCTCCGAAAAGCACTCCACACTATCTTCCCAGCCTCCTCATTATTATCCCACCCTTTCCAATCCAGCTTCATTGACTGTTCTGGCGCGTCAAGGCACAATTCTGTCGGGTGGACTGAACCTTGGAAACCTGCTCCAGCTGAGATCTTACTCTCCCCCCTTCCTCTCTCCTGCCTGCACTCTCCTTTCCCCATTCCCTTGCCCTCCGCTTGCCTGTTTTTGGCAGATATCCAGTCCCTCCACTCGAAGCCCACCCAGCCCAGTTGGTGACTCTCTTTGTACAATTCTAACCACCATTATCCACTATTCAGGGCTCTCCGTGGGACTTGCCAGTCATACATTCTTTGGATCTCGATCTTGATAACGGTTCCGGCCCGTTGTCGCATTGCAACTCCTGTGCTCAACATTCCGGACAATCGCTGCATATCTCTCAGACATTGACGTATTCCCTCAGCGCCGGGAGCACGAGTATCGACATCAACACAAAAAGCTCCACTTCTCTCAAAGGAGGAGAGCTTCTCATCATACTTGATCTGTCAGTTGGGTGGTAGTGTCAAAGAGGTGCGCAGCAACCGGCGCAGACTCCTTCTCGGGGTTCCGAGAAGTGAGTCTTGGATCAGAGACACGGGGAGACAACACCTGGACAACCCAAGATGCCTAAAATCGGTGACCGGCTAGCCCGTACGTATTTCGGTTCTCGCTTCGAAAACATGCATGAGAATATTGACGCTTGACCCTGCAGGGCTGCTACCAATGATCGGTTACCACCACGTGCTGATGATTATCATTGCTGTCGCCATCATCCTTCTATGTCAGTAATTTTCCGGTCACCCATGCTCTGGAATGCGACTAACGTTGATCAGCCCTACTATTGGCAGGATGCTCATCGTCCTCACCCCAGATCCCTAGCATATTCCTGATATCACTATACTACGAACGATACTCACCGACATTCAACCTGGCGCAGGTAGATCCTGGCGTGGTTACAGCAACGGCGAACATTGTAGGAGGAGCCGAAATGGAAGTCCGTGTGGGCTACTTCGGTATTTGCGTGCAGCCAGATGCGGGATCATATATCTGCAATGCCAATGCGACCGCCTTGGCCGAGATTGTCACGGTCGATCAAGACCCTCTGAACCTGATCTGGGTTGCGTCAACGTTCAAAGATGCTGTTGTGTTTCCGTACCTACTGTACGTTCTCCCTTAGGCTTTCGTCTCGTGTGTGTCTTGCTAACTCGCGGTAGCATTATCGCCGTCATCCTCGCCTTCTTCTGTTTTATCCTGCTGGCTACCTTCCCCGGATGGCACGACGAGCTCGATGCTAGTGGTTCCGAAGTTGAAGCCAAGCCGTTTCCTTCGCGACCTGTCTCGCAAGCCGCCCTGGCTCTCATCTTCGTCGCATCGGTCTTCGTCCTCGTCTCCGTTCTCTGGCAACATACCGCATCCGTCGCCGCGAGCACCATCGCTCAGGACATGGGCAATGGTAGCGTGAAGAGTGGTGTTGGCACCTCTGCCATGGTGCTGGGCTGGTTTGGATTCGGTCTCATGGTGGTCGTGACGATAGGTCTTCTCGTCATGATTCTCAGCATCAGCCTCATCAGACAATTGACGGACGAAGCATAGTCGCGTTGACATGCCAACTTGAACCCTCATCAATTTTTTTTTATTGCACTTTGATTCCCCACTCTGATTTTCAACGCTACGCATTCCCCCTTCATTCAACTCCCTCGTCTTCATGCGATCACCACGCCCCAGAGACGGCATATACAACGAGCAGCACGTGAATAATGATGCATATTGAGATTTGGAACATGGGCTTTTTCTCTCTAGTTTTTTATACGAGTTTATGGACACGGACATTTGGAAAGGGAATACGAGTTACGGTTACGGTTTTTCATTTTGTTTGTTTAAAGAAGTCATCACGAAGAAGAAAAATGCCTAATGAACAATATGCGGCCAACAACAGATCAAGTCGGCCGTTCAGTCTCCTTGAGCTTAGCTTAGCTCACCTCATTCGAAACAATCAATCCACTAGAAAATTTCTGTTTCGTCCGCTTTCTCTCCTCCTACCCTCTATAACCTTCCTCCGGCGGGAAAGATCTTGTTGGCCGCGATGCTTGTGTTCGCTTTGTCGTTGGCCTTGTATAGAACACTTGTTCAGGTTGCTTCACGTTATCTTGTGGCTGCGGAGGGGACACTGGGTGGATTTGGGTTGTGAATAGTTTTGTTATTGTCTTGTCTTCTAGATTATGAATTTGATGTGGGATCTTTGTGTTTACTGCTAATGAGAGTCGATCTGCGTGAAGAAATCCAATGGATAGTTGCGGGACGTCACATGCATTATCCTCACAATCTTCCAGGTCTGTATCATTGACTGCAAAATCGAGCAACTCATGCTCTGTCCAGTAGAGCAACATTTACGATTAAGAACCTTTAGATCTAGATCTCTGTGAGATCTCAACTGCACCAAGAACCGGTCAGGGATATAGAGGAATAGGTGGACAATCACATGACATGGTATTGTGATCAACAGCGTCTACTGTGTAGTTTGCTTGCGTACTATTAAAGAGGACAAAACATCCTCTCGTCGTGAGGCAGGCAACGAACAAATCGCGACGACGATGACCCGGGCCGGATGGGTTACGCAAGTAATAGAGCCGCCCCCGGCTATTGTTCCTTTGGTTTAGTAGTTCATCACCGGCGGCCCACCGCCTGGTCCGGGCTTTTCCTCATAATTATTCCCTTCATACCCACCGCCGTAATCGTCTAGGGACCGGTACCCCGGCGGACCATTGTCACGGCCTCCGCTACCGCCACCACCACCACCACCACCACCACGGCCTCGACCACCACCGCCGCCACCACCACCACGGTTGCCGCCGCGGTTCTGATGGTGGCCGCCGCCGCCGCCCCTGCCTCGCCCTGCCGCACCGCCGCGGCCGCGGCCGCGGAATGCGTTCCCGCGACGCGAGGGTCCACTGTCATCATGGTGATGGCGATTCCCTCCGTTGCGCATGGTATTCGGGTGCGGCTGTCTTCCGTGGGGGTGGTGGGGGTGGTGGTGGTGGTGGGATGCAGAAGCAGCGGCGCCATCATACGTTGCGGGCTGCTGCTCCGCGTGCGGCGGATAGAGGATCTCCTCGTTGCGTTCCTGCTGGTGCCGTCTTTTGTTATTCTTGTTGAGGAACTGGCTCTCCCACTCGCCCTCGTTGGGGTTCTCCTCCTCGACGCGCAGGACCACCTTCTCGCCGACGACGGTCTCGACGATGAGGGCCTTGTCGGCGGGGACGGGGTGCCAGTTCTGGATCTTGCCGGCGTCGATGGGGCGCGCGCCCTTGCGCACCGCCAGCACCACGACAGGCTGCGGGTTCTCCGTGTAGTACTTCTCGGTGGCGGGGACGGGCGCCATGCGCGCGGCCCAGACCCGGTTCTCGAAGCAGGCCGTGCCTGTGATCTGCCAGCTCAGCTTCTTGCCGATGCCGCCGACCTTGTCCAGGATCGACCGCGGGGCGGGGCGGGGCGTGATCAGGATGCTGTTGGCCATGTACTTCAGGTCGTTGGAGTCCGCGAGCCCGTAGGGGAGCATGGGGGTTAGTACTTCGCGGATCAACCGGCTCGAGTCGGCGTTCGAGATCAGGTAGCCCGTGTAGAAGATGGTGCGCTTGATGCGCAGTCGACCGTACGGCGACTTGGCCTTGTTTAGTGACGGGTTGCGGGTGGTGAGGTTGTGAGAGTTGATCATGCGCTGCACTTCGGCGGCTTCCCAGACGGGGTCAAGATACATGGATCCTTCGGCGACCTGGATTACTTCCGAGGTGATCGGCTTTCTCGGGCTGGGGCCCTGCGCAGGCTGGAACTTGCGGTTCAGCTGCTCGAAGTAGTCCCGGAAGCCTTTGGCACTGGCAGAAAGGTCAGACGTTCCGGCAATATGAACGAAAAAAGAAAGAAAAAAAGACGTACTGCTTCGGGCGATCCTCATAGATGCGAAGATCTTCAGCCTGCTCGTAAGTGAGGATAAGGTCTTCCAGGAAGGTCTGCTTGAATTCCATCGTGGTCGCGAAGCGCTGATTCCTCGGGCCAACTTCCGGCTTGAGGCATATCAAATCAAACTCCAGCTTCTTGCTGTTCACCATTCGTTTGATGATCTCCGAGAATCCACTTTCACTGCGACCCGTTAGAAGCACCGTCAGGGCATCTTTCTGCTCCATGCTCAATTTCACGAGTTGCACCTAGGGGGGAACGTATCAGCCAATTGCTGTTAATTCACTTATAGGTCATTGTAATGTAATGGAAGGCCACACAATCTGTTCGTTCCACCACCCCTCCCAAGCGCGCGGTTCCTCCTTCTCGATCCCTTCTCCGGTAGCCGACAGGAGGTTCGGGTCATGCCACCAACCGCCGTTCGCGAAGCTCTCATAAGCCTGAAGGAACCCGATCGTCGGACCGTTCCAGAGTTGCGGATTCGGAAGTGGGCTTAGAAATACTGGAAAGCATTAGAATGCGCGGGCGAATCAGACGGAGGTCGCAGGGCGACGGAGTGCATCCTTACATGTGTTGTCGAAGTCGTATACGTGAATAGACCTGACCTGCGGTACTGCTGTAGCGCAAGAACAGTTGTGATTATCAGCCACCCACAGCGCTATCATATTGTGGAAGCGAGATGCTCACCTGGTAGTTCTTTGTTGGTGATGGACCAGCGTCTTAGACTGGTGATGGTGCGCGCGGGCGCGCTCTGAGTGTGATTTCTCATTTTGGAAGCGTTCTCTGCGACTACGGACCTTGCAGATCTCATTACCTTCAGCATTAGTGAGTTGCGACAGACATTCGAGGGTTCACATAGGCAAGCAAAGATTCATATGTTCACAGCTACTGTGAGTCAATGTGAGGTTTCACCGCGGAGATTTCGCCGCACATCACGGAAGGCCGCCGCAAAGAGCGCGCTTGGCCCGCCTCCCTCTCCTTGTGGCGGGCAGTTTCGATGACTTCGGCAGGCGGTCTGGACTCGATCGGCTGCAGCTGCCAGTCATAGTCCTCGACTTTCTAAGCGGTGAGGTAGACTGCAATGACGTTTGGTTCAAAGGCGGTCAGCAATGCCTCGCCCTCTTCCATCTGGAAACTTAATAAAACATTCCCACCCTCTTTTCAGTTTCATCATACCCAATTGTCCACTCGTTAACGGAATCTTTTGATGTGCGAGCGGGTGTAACTTTCCATGTCCGATGATGATGGCATACGGCAGGCAATCTTGCAACGAACGCTCCAAGAGGTAGCACAAGAGGAAAGCGAGAATGAGGCAAATCCGTGCGTCATCTGCCTCGAACCGGTCTCCGAAACCGCCATTGCGGTGCCCTGCAAGCATGCGAACTTCGACTTTCTGTGTCTGGTGAGCTGGCTGGAGCAGCGTCGGAACTGTCCGCTCTGTATGTACTCTCACGTATCCGAGAATTCGACTTCTGTCAAGTCTGCAAATCTGCGAAGGGTCAGGGTCTTCAGCTGACGCCAAGTTGAAGGCAAGAGCGACGTCTCCGCAGTCAGATACAACCTCGACAGCCCCCAAGGAACCAAGATCTATCACCTTCCACCTACCCCGCCAGCTAACGCCATTACATCCTCATCCCATCCACCCGCACCACCCATCCACCATCACCCATCCCGTCGCCCGCGCCGCGCTCGAAGCCCCACGAATCGACCACCACTCCAAGCCCAACCGAGCGACGACCCCCTCCGCCGACGCCAACACATCTACCGCCACCAACTCTACTCCCTGCGCGTCGGCTCCAACCGTCTCTCCCAATACCGCGAGCTCACGCCCGACCGCTTCAACCGCGAGGAGGAGCTTGTCTCGCGCGCGCGCAAATGGATCCGGCGCGAACTCAAAGTATTCGCCTTTCTCAACCCCTCGTCCGAGCTCTCCGCCGCGGAACACGACGAGGGGATCGGTAGGGGTGCTAGTGAATTGCGCTCGACGGCGCAGCGACAGCAGTCCGCACCCCCACGGGCGGGTCAACAACGACTGGAGAACCGCCGCGGCAATAATGCCGAGTTTCTTCTCGAGTACATCATCGCGATACTCCGCACGGTCGATATCAAGGGCAGCGCGGGTCAGGCGGAGGAGCTTCTCCGGGATTTTTTGGGAAGGGAGAATGCGCGGTTGTTTCTGCATGAGCTGCAGGCTTGGCTGCGGAGTCCGTATACCTCGCTGGAGGATTGGGATCGGCATGTGCAGTATGAGGATGTGTCGCGACGGGAGGGAGCTTCGTCTGCGCAGGCGCGGGCCGAGGGCTCCTCGGCGTCGACGCCGGTTTATCGGGGTGGGACTTCACATCATTATCGGGGAAGTGGGAGAGGAAGAGGAAGAGGGAGGGGGCGAGTGGCTAAGCCGGCGCATTCACGGAGGCAGCCGTATCAGCGCGAAAGCCAGGAGGAACAAGCCAGGAGGGTACAGTACGCTCGGGAGCGTTATATACCAGACTAAGATATAGAAGGCTGTATTGTATATCTTGCTGCGCTGCTCGCAGCTAGGAATTATCTTGCATACTATACTATGAATGATTGATGCATGCTATAGACAAATGTATGATTTATAATACTGGTATCTTGGATGATGCAAACGAGAAGAATACGCTATTAGGTTTCATGGCTCGTGATGTTTAGGCTCTGGTATTCAACGTCGCCTGCCGAAGCGCCCGCCGCCCCGTCCCTTAAAGTTCTTGTTTCGGATTTTGAGCGACCGGTAGTTGGCGTGCGCTTCCGGATTGACCTTGCGTGCACGCGGCTGTTTGGGCTCGGGGTCCTTTGCCTGCACCTGAGGTCGTACAGGTGGTTTCTCCGGAGTCTCTGTTGCTGGCGGTTTGCCAGCCGCTATGGCCTCCTTCATCTTCTCGGAGAAGCTCTTGCCCTTCTCTCGAGGCTGGAGTCCTTCGTCGTAGTCCGGGTCGAAGTCGGATAGGTCCGGTTCCGACATGGTGTGTAACGAATCGAGGTCGTCGAAGTCAGGAACCTCGATGTGGCTCCGGTCCAGAGGGCCGGGGGCTACGAGCGGCTGGGTTTCGCGGACGGCGGTGACCCCCCCATCAGAGCCATTATCCCTCTCGCCGTCTTCCTCCTCTTCATCCGAAAAAGACGGCAGCTCGGGCGCAGCCTGCCTCGACGTTGAAACCACCGGCTTCATGCGCACCTTGCGGGTAGTCCGCTTCTGGCCCTTTTTCTTCCAGACGGGAGCGCCCTCGTTCTCAGCCGCGGCCTGGCTATCGGCCACCTGCGCCGCGTCCATCATAGCCGCCTGCTCGGCCTCGATTTCTCGAAGAACATCCATATCGTCCTCCAACTGCTCCTCTTCCATGTCCCGCAAGCCCTTCACCAAAGCCGAGAGCCCCTTCCCGACGAACTGGGGTCGTTTCCGCGTGGCCATCGGACTCAATCCCCCCGTGATGTTTGAGGTATCGTACCGTCCCGACGTCGACCGCCGCAGGAACGACGGAGTCTCCGACCCGGGGTCGTTCGGCCCTCCCACTGCCGCCACTGGAGCCCCCTCTGCCGCCGCCGCCGCCGTCCCTTCCGCAGCAGCAGCAGCAGCAGTCCCTTTATTAGACCCATCATCCATCATCGTTGCATACCGCCAGGTAGTCGGAGTAGCAAACAGCGTCGACAGCATCCACTTCTTCCCGGACGAAGTCGGCGTCCTCCCCAGCCTGGAACTGTCATCATCATCCTCACTCTCACCATCATCTTCCGCTTCCTCCGCTTCCTCCGCAATCGTATCCATCGTCTCCCTCTTCTGTTTCAGAGATTTCCTCCGCCTCGACGGCGTCCGCACACTCGCCTCCTTCAAACCAGCAATCCTCGTCGCCGACGGCGTCGCCGTACTCCCACCGGACTCCGACAGCAGATCAAAAAGCCCCAGCGCCTTGCCATCGCGCTGCGGCGTCGGCCCGATCGCCGCCTTCAGCGGCGACAGGTGCGTGCTCGGGCTGAACAGCCGCCGCAACACCGACGGCGAGTCGTACGGGTCGACCTCCGCCGGATGAGAGGTTGATTTTCTGGATGGCGTCTCAAAGGCCCCGGCTCCGGTCCCGGCCCCGGTTCCGGCCCCGCTTTTGTCTGTCTTCTTCCGTGGGGTGGTGAGGTTATCCGAAGACCCATGCGGGGAGGTGTGTTTCCGTTTCCTTTTGTGGTGTCGTGCGTTGTCCTCTGTTGTTCTGGAAATGCTGGTTGAGGATGATGTTTCGAGGGCTTTGAGCCGGGAGTATTCTTTGTATTTGGCGGCTGTATGCAAAAAGGGGTGGGCGTTAGCTGAGGGGCAAGATTTTATTGTTCTGGGGAAGGGGGAGGGGAATAGGCGCTTACATATTTCAGGTACCTTCTTGATATCACTTCGATCGGCTTTTCTGCCTCCGTTGGCGTCGGCGAATGCTCGTTCCCATTCTTTGAGCTCCGCGCGGAGGGTGGTGGAGGAGGGGTCTGCTGAGGATGGTGGTATGGTGGTGGCCATTATTGCATGTTGAGGATCTATAGTGCCGTGATCTAGGAGGATGAAGTGGCTGTCAAGGTTTGTGTCTGAGGAGAAGGGATTGCGAAGGCGTGGTGGTGGTGGTGGTCCGGCTGTTGGACCCGTCGCGTTCGCGAAAATCGATTAACGCGGGTTTTGTGCAGGGCGGGCTGACGTAGCGTGTCTTGGTCCCCGGCTTTCACTTCCACGTAGTACTCCGTAAATGTTTATGGATCGAAGTCTATTTCGTTTTACTGCACCGTACCTGAGATTCAATTATTTTTATGAATTTGTTGGGTATTAGCTAAGTATACAGATTTAATCATGATCACTGAGAAAAATATCTATCACCAACTCGTCAACCCACGACATCGATCGAACCCACCCCGTAACTGGGAGTCAGGATGCACCACCTTTCCCTGCAGAAGCGTGTACTTGACGATGCCCTCGCAGTGCTCCGGGCGGATCCGGGCCAGCCAGATCATCTGCTCCTGCGCCTTCCGGTAAACCAGTACATTCGCCGAGAACTTGTGGCCGCCGACATGCGAGACGAAGAAGATACCCACGCCGCCGGGCCGCTCGTCGGTCGCGTCGCGATACAGCCCCAGCGGCCGCAGGTGTCGCTCCAGCTCCTTCTTGATCAGCGGAGCGGTGATCCCGCAGCGCGCGTCGCGCCGTCGGTGGGAGCAGAGCAAGACCACGTAATCGTACTGGCATGGTCGCGGGGCCAGTCGCGATGCGGGATCGTGGGCCACGAGGCCTTTGTTGGAGAGCGGGGCGTCGATGTATCGGTCTACGACCTCGCGTACGTCGGCTTTGTGCACGGAGTCGAGGAAGGTGAAGGAGGGGAGGAGGAGGATCGTTGTCCCGTTGTTGTTGTCGTGTTCTTCCTCGTGGTGGTGGGCTTGAAGATTCGAGGCTGAGACCATCATGCGCTAGGTTTCTCCCCGTCAGCGATCATTCATTCTCACTCAGCGGACCTGGCTTATGCTGAACACCGGATCTGAACATACCCCGTGTTTTGACTGGTTGGAGGAAGCGTCAAATGCCTCCATGAGTGATCCCTTCTCGTTCTCGACATGTTCGGTCCAGTCCGACTTCCCTGTCGCGACTAAGACGTGCGTGTGGAATTCTTTGATGTGTCCGTACAGCGGCCGGGAGGTCTCGACCTTCACCTTCGAAGGGAATTGTACCGTGCAGTCGGCGCAGTCTTGCTTGCAGTCGGGCCCGTCTTGCGTGGGATCCACGCTGGGGAAGATGTAGTGGTCGTTGCGGATCAGGCCGCCGCGCGATAGAAGGGACCGGAGCATCGTAGCTGGGTTTGTTTGCGACGCTTTGTTTTTTGAGAGAATGGTGGCTTTCCCGGCACACTTATCTTCGCAGAGAAAGGGTATATCGTACGATGATCGATTGAGCTGCTCGGACACGAGAGAAGAAAATAAAACCAATCTGACAGCCATTTTTCATGGTGGATTGAATTCTAGCTTTCCCTATATACTCCGTTGAACTCGGAGACGGACTATCGCAAAGTATCATCTCCGAGGCTTATCCCCGAGGGAGTTAATCCAAATAGGCAACCATGATTGTTCTCAGGGCTTTATTCTGTCGAAGCGTGGAATTTAACTTCGAGTAAGGTATGTCTCGGAGACAATGACGGCGACCTGTCAAACGGTAGGCTGCAGCTACACGTCTACTGTCATTGTCATTGCCATAATGTGTTAGTTTGAGTCGTGGACCACATACAGTACGGTAACTTAGCTTCCTCCGGCGAACTATAGTTGACTCACTTGACTGGCTGCAGACGATTGAAGCAAAGCGTTGCTTAGTTATTGGCACTGCAGTGCGGCCACTGGTCAATTTCGAGTCTCCGGCTCCATAACTCTATCGCACTCAATTGAGCCGAGAACCATAAATACTGAGTACCCAAAGATTAGACCCGTTGACAATGCAATGCATTCAATTGCACCAGCCCCTCGCCCCTCTTCGTGGCAGTGGGACTCTGGCCCGTGTTTCCAATTGCTTGCCTGCCTGCAGCTCTGGACCCTTCAATCCTTCTCATCACTAAACCCCATTAGGCAAATCCTGGTTGTTCATCCCCCAGTCTGGTTAAATTGCTGCGAATGTTCTGGCGAATGTCTGAGAGAATGCGAATGAAACAATCAATCAACAATCACGGAAGAGCCGACCGTAGGTTTAAGCGAAGTTATGTGCGTGCGAGGTAAAACCAAGCCGGAGGAAATTGGCGGCTGCGCCTTTTTTACTGGGTTATCGTTCCCTACTGGCTACTCGGCGAAACTGCCAACGGATCTTTTGTGGAAGTGAAAGAAGACGAAAGACAATCGATTGTGCAGTTGTGCCACACATAACGATTGAGAAACTGTTCGGAGCAAGAAACTAAGAATTGTCTCTGCCTACACATCGGCGATTGTTCTTGTTCTTGGAAAGGTGTGAAACCAGGCCCACCGGGTCAGGTTGCCCCATTTGGTGGATATGGCCGGCAGTGCCAAACACGTAAGCCACCATCCACCAATCTCACTCGCTCTGTCTGCGGTCCTCCACCCCATTCCCACCGCGGACCCCCCCATCTGCCCCCAATACATTTTGGCGGTGGTGCGCATACCTACCTCCGCTTCTCACTTCCCTCTCATCCTTTTACCACTGCGCATCCACCCCCTCTTCTCTCCAATGATGGCTGACGTTCAGTTGAAATTGGCAGCTTCGGCTCCAAATTCTCAACCAGAACAACAGCAGCAGCAGCAACAACAACAGCAACAACAGCAACAGCAACAGCAACAGCATCGAGTGCGCAAGCGACGCCGACGGACAATGGCGTGTATGCAGTGCCGCAGCAGAAAGCTCCGTTGCGACCGTGAATATCCCGTATGCGGACGTTGTCAAAAGAGCAAAACCCCAACCCGATGCACCTACGAGGATGGATTTCTCTGGCAGCAACCCAATACAGTTGCTTCGCCCGTTTTCTCCGAGAGAGGTCCCACAGCCACGACACAAATGGCCCAGACTGATCGGGCGACTGCCCACCCTACCCCGGACTCGGGGATAAGTAGTTTGCCGACTCGGCCTCAACCATCCTCCAGGGACTCACGTCCCGGCGAGGAGAGACGCGATAAGTTTCTAGAAACCGTTCTCGGCGCCCCCAAGGCCGCCGTCAACCAAGAACCTTATGCAAATACCAGCCTGCTGCATCGGCCGCGACAGGTCTTCGAGCCTCACCAGGACACCCAGCCGCACCCCGCCGAGGACGACGAAGATCTGGCCTCGCCGACGCAGCAGCTGGATATCTCCCCGCGGATCATGATGCGAGGGCGAGAGACCAAGACTCGTTACAATGGCTCGGGCATATTTGCCAATCTGATAGCTCAGGTATGCCATCCACCAACCCACGTCCGAGGGACAAACAATCCTACGATCTGATTGGCCCTGCCACGAGTCACTTGATGTTGATTGCATGCTTTAGTTCCCCGACCTCAGGGCCTTTGCCGAAGAGATCAGGGTTGCCAGCCCGCATCTCTCGGCCTTGCGACCGGATCTCATCAGAGTCAAAAAGGGTCTCTGGAAGCGGAAACCTTTGAATGAGCCCTTCCCCATGCCCACCATGCAGTCACTAATCACCATGCTTCCAGCTCGCGCAGTCGTCGACGAGTTGGTCTACTTGTATTGCATCTATATCGAGTCCACCCATCGCATCCTGCACATGCCCTCGTTCTTCGAGGAGCTGGAGCAGTTCTGGGCACAGCGGGAAAGCCCCGACATGACCTCGACCGTCTTTGTGGTTCAACTGCTCTTGGTGCTGGCTTGTGCGTGGAATCTCGCGGACCTCAATACTCTTCAAATGAAGAATGAGGCGCCCCTTACCTGCTATACTGCCATTGAATGGATTCTCCACGCAGAGAAGTGGATCGAAAATGCCAACTTCAAGCGACCCGAGCTCGCTACTCTCCGTCTGCAGACTCTGCTCATCATTGCTCTGAATATCCATGGCATGAAACGCAGTCAGGCATGGCTTGCCACCGGGACTCTCGTCAAGCGGGCTATGATGGCGGGGTACCACCGCGACCCAAGTCGATATACAAAGATTTCCGCGTTCAGCATGGAGATGCGCCGACGAATGTGGGCTACCATCGTGGAACTCGACCTCCAGATTTCCCTCGAACGAGGCATGCCCCCTTCGGTGCAAGAGGACGACTATGATACCTTCCCATCGTTGAATATCGATGATACGGAAATCAACGACGATAGCACCGAGCTTCCGGACGAAAAGCCGCTGGATGTAATGACAGACTCGTCATTCCAGGCGGTGCTGACACAATCTCTTCCTTTGCGGCTGAAGGCCTGTGCCTTGATGCACTCTCCTCGGATCAGCTGCCGGTACGAAGAGATTATGCGTCTGGATTGGGAATTGAATCGTCATCTTTCCAAGATCCCCGCATGGCCCACATCTGAAGTTGATGACTTCCATCGCACCCCGGAGCGCGTGATCTTGATGAGGGCTCTTCTGAAGAACAAGATCGGCCACTCGCTTTTGTCTATCCACACCCCGTTTGCCATTGAAGCCCCCAGAGAGGCTCTTTTCGCACCGTCAGCTCGGTCCCGCCTCGAAGTGGCGTCGATGATTCTTTCCACGCAGCGCCAGCTCCGTGAGAGGTCGGCCCAGCTGTCACTTTGCAATATGGGAGAATGGACCGTGCAGGCTTACTGCACCATATGCCAGCTCCTTCATGAGAAGGACAACAAATCCGGTCAGTCAATTATGCCTTCTGCGCTGTTCGTGGATGGTACTGATTTTAAGGGCAGCTACTTCTCTCACTCGTACCCTCCCTGGGCTCCCCGAGTCATTAATCTCCCTGGTGGAGACCGCCTTGACCTGCCTCGAATCCCGCCTCCTTCTTGTGGTGAAGGGAGCGAAAGAATACTTCTTCATGTCGACAATTCTGGCGCTGGTGAAAGCCACTCTCTGGCCAAGCCAGTCCCATGTTTACAAGCAAGAAGTGGTGGAGCGTGTGATACTATTCGCGCAGACACTCTTCACCCGACATGCCAACTGCGCTCATCTGGGAGACTGGGGCATGGGCAGTTTCAAGACCAACCAGGTAAGCGACCGAGTCTCTCTTATACCGCAGCTCATCCTGACGATTCCAGGTTCCGAGTTTGAACGCCGGCCCTGGGATGGCGCCGCCCTTTGTTCCAGACGTAGCTGTAGGGCAGCCGGGGACCTTTGGCATGGTGGTTAGTTCGATCTACCTTTTCTCTCTCTCATCTCGCTAACAATCTGTCTAGCCCGCTGTAGACCCGTTTCTCGACTCCTTTGACTGGGCCGACTTGACGGGCATAACGTTCTAGCCATGATGTAAGAGTAGATAAATCATGCCCACCACCTTCCCTTATTACCTAATGCCCTATCACGACGATGATGGTTTGCACTGTACAAATACTCATACAATCGATCACCTGTATCATCTGAATGCTCTTCTGATTGCCTTAGTCAGACGGTGAAGATCGTCGTGGCGGTGACGCCATGCGATCGGCTTGAGCGACGATCCACGGCATCGCATCGATGTCACTGAATAGTCATGCACCCACATCTGGGCTCACTTCGCTCCCAGCCTGGTTTTGTTTTCATTGTCAACGGTGCGCAATCATCAATCAGCCTTATCAAGGAGAGATCCTGAGCCACTGAATATTGCAACCGATAGCCCACAAGATGTGGTTTATGCAGGGATGATGCAAGAACGGAACGAACACCTTGGGGGTTTGGGGGTGGTGGGGTTGTTGATCATCTTGCGAAAGGCAGTAAGTGATTGATTCTGTACGTCAGTTGAGGTCCCTTGCTTGGGGCATTGAGTGACGTCCTTGACGTAGACCTGCATTGAGTGCCAGTCAGTGGTGTGATTGCTTGACGATGCAAATCCAATGTCTCTGCAGCAATGGCTGTACTGCATGATGCGGAGCCAAGTTACAGTGTGTCTTTCCAGGGTCAACACTGGATGCCATGTATGTACTACTTGTATAACGAATCTCATATAATACAGTACACAGAGTACCTTAAAGCTTAGAAGATACAAAAATAGCAGGCCAATAAGTGATCTAGAATGCGGCACAGTTTCATTGACGTACTCGAGTATACAGTAGGTATCTGAGCCCCTGAGTGGTAATTACCTTAGTTACCAGCAAATCTCCGTTGTCGCAGGGCGGGAGATAAGAGATAGGGTGCCTGCAGTACAGTACAGTACAGTCCATTAATTACAGGGCCCTCCAGTAGGTGATGCAGACTGTTTACCTATTCTGGGGTCTACTCTCAATGACTGCTTGTCTACACCACACTTTCATCACTGCATCCATCTCTAGGCACCAGCTTTTATTTGTTCTCCCCCGTGGATTTTGGCCCACTTTGCCTACCTGGTATCTAGGGTCTGGTCTAGACTATTTCAGTCGCCGGCGCTCAGCCCTGTTTCTACCATTTAGTCTGCTGTGTCCCGTATCCAATGAAGAAGATGGCTGTCGCCAAAGCGGCCCATTGAGGCTGTCCCGCAGTCTTCACAGCCATTGCACACCCATTGAACCTACATTCGGCCAGTTCGAACTAGCATATATTAGTGTAATCCACTGATAGGCTCTGGCTCACTCTGATTCTCATCTTAAATTGACACCCCTTCCCCCCAGTGCGCGGTCCGATTTATCGCACATCACATGCGAAACAGACGGCGTCAATGCATCTTCTCACCCTCCTGACTGGGATCATCCTCCTCCACGCGGTCAATGGCAGCCCCCAGCCCAGCAGCGCCCCGGCACCGACCGGGTCCTCGTCCTTCTCCAAGACGACTAAATACCCTCTCCCCAACTTAGGGAATGTGGCCGTCCACGACCCCAACATCCTCCGCCACGACGGGGCCTACTGGCTCTTCAAGGGCGGAGTCCACCTCCCCATGTACAAGGCCCAGTCCCTGGACGGACCCTGGACGCAGCTCGGCACCGTCCTCGACGGACCCAGCGAGATCCAGAAACAGAACCGCAGCCGCCCATGGGCGCCCACCGCCGTCGAGTGGAACAACACCTTCTACTGCTTCTACTCGATTAGCAAAGCCGGCAGTCGCAACAGCGCCATCGGGGTGGCGACCGCCACCCAGTTAGATCCTGGCCGCTGGTCGGACCACGGGGCCGTCATCAACACGGGCCAGGGTAACGGGTCGGAGAGCTACCCATACACCGTCTCGAACGCCATCGACCCGGCCTTCACCAAGGACCAGGCCACGGGCCAGCCGTACCTGCTGTATGGGAGCTACTGGCATGGGATCTACCTAGTGCCGCTGACCGCGGACTTGCTCTCGGTCACGGAGCCGGAGCGCCAGAATGCGACGACGAATCTGATTTACGTGCCCGATGAGAAGGTGAAGCCGGTCGAGGGGTCGTTTATGAGCTACAGAGAGCCATATTACTATGTTTGGTTCAGTCATGGCAAGTGCTGTGGATTCCAGAATGGGTTTCCTGCTGTGGGGAAGGAGTAGGTTTTAACCTGAAATTTGTGCAATGGACGGGGCTGTGTTTCTGACTGTGCGTGTAACAGGTATAGCATCCGGGTCGGACGGTCGAAGGATGTCCAGGGGCCGTTTGTGGATAAGGATGGACGGCAGTTGACAGACGGAGGCGGGACGGTGGTCTATGGCTCGAACCATGGGACCGTGTATGCTCCTGGGGGTGTTGGGGTTCTGTCTGCTGCCGATGGAGATTCCGATGTTCTGTACTATCATTACCGTGGGTTGGCTCTCGTCGGTTTGGCCGGATGTCTTGCTGACTTGACCCTAGTCAATACCTCGATTGGGTTCAAGGATACCGTGAGTAGATAGATCTACCGTGAGGGGAGATTTCTGGTTGACTCCGACTCTAGGACGCGCAGTTGGGATGGAATTACCTCGACTACCAAGACGGGTGGCCAGTCACTGTTTCTGGGTATGTATCTCGATCTGCTCATTCTGACCCCGCTGACGGCGATTTGCAGCGACAACAGCACCGGAACGAGCGAAAGCAGCGGAGCCGTGTTTGGACCTGATTATACGCTTCATGCGTTCTCATTCCTTGGTATGTCCCCATTCCCCTTTCCATGCATTATACTAATAATGAGTTTAGTCATTTGGGGATACCTCCGGCTACACAGTTGAAGCCCTGCTGTCCGCCTCGAGGAATTTGCATCTCACCCACATTAACGAGACGACGATATGACACGATAATTTTTATTAGAGTTGAGGCCTGGCGTCTCATCAGCGCTATACAGCACGTTATTTACTGGAGTCGGACTTACTGTACAAACCCGACTAATGCTACCACCTGTATAAAGCCATCTCACGGATCCCACGCCATCCACATTCAACACCTGCCCCGTGGTATTCGAGCTAGCATCACTCAACAAGGACACCACCGACTCCGCAGTACATGGTGACGCGCAGCTGCCGGTCCCAATCGTCGGAGTCGGAGAGGTCAGCGCGCCCACGCCGTGCTGCCGGCCATATTGGCCGCGCCGTCTAGGCGGCCGAAATGCGTAACCGTCTGATGGATCCAGGCGTCGACGGCGGGGCGGTCGGTGATCTCGAGAGGGTTGGTGAGGATTCTCCCTTCCTGGGTCCGGGCGGTTAGGATTGCGAGACGGCGAGGCCGATGCCTGCCAGGCCGGGTATGGCGTGGATTATATCGGGGAAGGTCATGCGGTTGTCGACTCGGTGTATGATGTCGGAAGTGAAAGTAGGGACTGACTGTACAGTGTATATATAGACCGGATAGATGAATGGATAAAGACGAGGACATGTGTAGTATGAATACCCCGCTTTCCGTCTATTTAGCCATTTTGCCGTGGCTGCACGACAGTAGGTCAATCATAGGGGTTGTTCTGGTTACTGGGGTGTGTACCCGGGTGTGTTAGCTGGACCATGCAACTCTTGTATACTACTGACTAACTATACTCGGCTTCAACAACACCACCAACTTATCTGCCCAAATCCCTCTCCGACCAAGGTACCACAACCAACCCCAATACCTCAAACCTCAACACTCAATCCCCCGACCCCCCTTCACAAAAAACCTCACCTCCTCCACTCCCCCGGCTCTCCCCTCCTCCTCGAAAACACACCAATCCACCACCCCCTCCGCATCCCACCCAAAACTCACCCTTCCACCCCCCCTCACCCTCCCCCCCTTCACCTCCCCATTGCCCCAAGCCTCAGGAATCGCCGGCCCCAACACCACCTCCTGCACCACCTTCCCCCCCGCCCCCCCATTATTTTCCAGTTCCCAACGCGCATAACTAAGATCTCGATCCCTCACCAGAAACTCCAGCACGGCGCCCACGACCCCGAAATTCGCATCCGCCTGGAACGGCACACTGCCCCCGTAGAGACTCAGCCCATTCGGCCCGAAATTCTCCTGGATGGCGAGGGTCAGCTCCGCGTACGCGTTGGCGGTATCGTTGAGGTTGGCCCAGCACGCGCTGCGCCAGACTTTCGCCCACCCCGTGTTCTGGTCTTCCGTGCCGTTGCCGCGGGAGATCAGGGTCGTAGTGACGGCGGCGGTGACGGTGGTGTTACGGCCGTAGGGGCTGGAGATGGAGGAGCCGGGGTACCAGCCGTAGAGGTTGGAGAGGTGGCGGTGCGTGTCGTCGGGGGTGTCGAGGTCGAGTTTCCATTCTTGGATTTGGTTCCATGAGCCTATTATCAGGCCGGGGGAGAGGTTGGGGAGGGTTTTGGAGAGGGTTGTGGGGAGGGCGTTGTTGGTGGTCTTTTTGGAGGGGGTGGTGAGGAGGTGGGTGAAGAGTTCGGTGAGGAGTTGGTGGTAGTGCGTGCAGCCGAATGTCTATATTCATCGGGTTGGTTAGGGGGAGGCTGATGGTTGGGGGGATTTGGGGTATGGGGGCATACGGTTGGACCATGTTCAGGCGAGTTACACGGGTTGACGACCAAGGTGCCGTCGTGGAAGTATTCGTCTTCCACCAGCTGCGACAGCCAGAACTCGGCCACCCCGGCCAATATCGGATACCCCGTCTCCTCGTACCAGGCCGAATCCTGCGTGTAGTCGAAGTGGTCCCACACGTGGTGGGCGAGCCAGGCGTTCGAGACGGGGTAGTTGGCCCATTGCGCGTCGTTTTTCATGCTGCACAGGATTAGCTTCTTGGGTATGCTGTGAGGATGCAAACAGAAAAGACTCACGCTGTATGCCCAAAAGTGTTCATCTCGTCGTGCGTCACCCACCCGGAGCTGGCCCCGTATAACAGCTCCGCCGTCTCCGCCCCTCGCGGCATCCACGTCTCCGTGATGTATCGCCACAGCGGCTCCGTCAACTCCCCCAGACCCGTCTGCTCGACAGCCCAGTGCGCCATCTGCAGGTTGATGTTGGCGTGGTAGTCGCCGCTCCACGCGGGGGAGTAGGACTCCGTCCACAGCCCTTGCAGGTTGGGCGGCAGACTTCCTGGCCGCGAGGAGGAGATGAAGAGGTATCGACCGTAGTCGAATAGCAGGTTCTCGACGAACGGATCCCCGGGCAGCGTATACGAGTCAATTAGCTCCGTGGTCGGCTTGCTGGAGGAGTTGTTCGGGTCTGGCAGGGTGAGCTCGAAGGTACCCGAGAGTGCTTGGAAGTCCTTCAGGTGCGCTGATTTCAATTGCGCGTACGGCTTTTTAGCGGCGCTTGTCGCGGTCTGCAGCACTTGCTGGTAGGGGTCTTGCCCTCGGAATGAGAATCCAGCCGCAGCGTTGCCCTTGGCCGCATCGTAGTTGGTCCCGGCGGCGAAGATGAGGAATACCTCACGTTGACCTTTGGGAACGTTGACGGTGGCGTTGTTCCGTGAGCAGTAGTTGCTCGAGGTTTTCGCTCCGGGGACAACTACCGTCGCTCGGGCATTGTAGATCATGCCAATGGTAGGCGCGGTGACGCCGTACAGACTTATGCTATTCCCCTGGCAGGTTACATTCGGGGTTGGAGACGAGAGCTGATTCTCCAGCCCGAAAGTGATTGTCGGCAAGGATCGGTTGGATGCTAGTCGATAGACGCAGACTTGATCCGGATACGAACAGAATGCTTCTCTGCATACCGCCAGTCAGCCCTCTCTCAAACTTTTAGGAAGGAGAGTACGCGCGTACCTAGTGATGTCGACATTGCCAGTCTTGAACTGATCCAGGTAAACGCCAGACTCCAAGTCGAGGCTACGCCGGTAGTTGGACACAGCCCCCAACTCTCCCAGATCGATGGTTAAATTGCCCAAAACCTGGTAGGAGCCGTAGTCCGGGAATTCTCCATACAGAGCAGTCACATTGCCGGTTCCGTTCTGGAAGATCCATTCCCTGATCCCGGGCAAAGCGTCGGCTTTGGAGACGTTCGGATTACCACCGGTATAGGCCTTGAATAGAACGTTGGTTCGTGCTAAGTTGGGCTTTTTTAATCAGGTCTGAGAGCACGCACCGGGTTTTCGAAAGGGCCCCCGCGCCACAGAGAATCCACGTTCAGATTGACAATCTCCTTGCCTGGAAGGCCAATGGGCATTGCTATCGAGCAGATTAATCTTCACGTCAGGTCAGGTGCGATGAACAACAGACATACCTCCTAACCGTCCATTGCCCAGAGGAAAGGCTGTAGTGATGATACTACTGTAGTTGCCCGGAGAATCAGACCACAATGACTTGGCTGCCACCAGAGGCAGCACCAACAAACCGGAAGCGACCGTCGAACGCATTGTTTGCTGCAGCAGAACTCAAGAACCCGAGAACCCCGAGTGCGGATGAGGGGAAGGGTCAATTAATATCCCACGTTCAATTCAGCCGTGATGCGTCGACATCATCATCATCCTGTGGCATCCGCGGGGGATCGGACCATTCGATTCTGCGGGAAAACTAGATTAGATGCCGGCTGCAGGAGACGACCGAGAGGGGTCAGACAGTGTCATTGGAGGAGTTATCGGTGAGAAATGAATTGACCTGCAGATCGGCGCAATTGTGGCGCAGTGCTAAGCTGCTAATTTTGTGCTAAACTTGTTAACTTGCTTGCTTTTTGCCGGATTTTGGCGCGACTCCGCATTTGCTTTGTTTGCTGGCAATAAAGATCCAGGGTGGTCAGATCGGTCTATTGGTAACGGCTGATACTGCTATCGACTACTGTCTGTAAACCCATGACATGTTCCAATTACAGCCTGCTTCCCGCTGCAGTCGTATTGGCCTTTTTCCACATTTCGATCCGGCGCTCGTGGCCTGCGTTGAACAGGTCGACCCAGGATTGCTCAAACGGGGGCAGTCTACGCCCCGGCTCGCCCTCGTTCGGCTCGCCTGCCAGCTGGCGGAGTTGCTCAAAGTATTCCTCGAACTCGGGATTTATCATCAAGAAGCCCGGCCCATCGCCCTTCTTTGCAATCCGATCCTGCTCCCATTTCTGTCGCTCTTCGTGCGGCGGTAGTTGAGCCTTGCCTGCCAGCACCCGCGCTGCTGCCACAGCTTGCCATTCGAAGATCTTGAAAGTCAATCCGGCGCCAACCTATTGCCGTCAGCAGAATTCGCCCAGACTCCTGGAGAGGTACATACGCCTCCAATAAACATTAAAGTCGGATCCTGCCGATGGAAGACGTGGAGGTACACATCAGGGATGCGGTTGTTTCTCATCGGAATATTGGGCAAGAATGGTAATGTCCAGGTAAACCCCGTGCCAAAGATGATATAATCGACGCCTGAGACCGAGGTCCCGTCCTCGAAGTGAACAGTGCGGTCTCCGTCCTCGCAGGAGACATGCGCGATCGGTGGCCGCCGCTCAATCTGAGGATGCTTGAATGCTTCGTCACCAAAGTAGGGATTGTACTTGCCGCGGACAACGGCATAGATGGGTGACTGAGCAGAGCCGATCAGGCTAACAGCAGTGTCTGCCGCAGACACTGAGGCTCCAACCGTGACGACCTTCTGTAGACCATATTCAGCGATACTCCCATTCATCGAACGACAAGCACACTCACCTTGCCTCGAAATTGTTCCGGACCACGATATTGTTTTGTGTGTAAGACATTCTCGGGGTACTTCTCTACGAACTCCTTGAGACCTGGGATGGCCGGTACGTATGGTACTGCGAAATGCCCCGAGGCAACAACAAGGGCATCAAAGGTTTCGCTCCACCAATAGTCAGTTCCTCCAGGCTTGCCCGCTCGTCGGAGGGTCAAAACCCATTGGTCAGACTGAGGATCTTTCACGGCGGATTCTACAGTGGTGTTGTACTCAACCAGATCTTGGTAGCCATTACGATTGAGAAGATCTTCGACATATTGCCGAATCACTGTATGATGGCGGAACGGTGTGTCGGGCCCGTGAAGTCCAATTGACCATTCAGAGCGAACAACTGGGATCGGTTCCAGGGAATACCCCATGGTGGCAGCATCCACATTGGTATGCAGATTGGGGTAGACATGCGAGTCAGTGAAGCGATGTTGCGATGATGTCGGCGTATATTGGGGAAGACTTTCAGGGATCGGAAGCGGGGCATCAGCTATTCTTGCTGAGAGTTTCTCAACATCCAGAGGGACCGCTTTCTCCTCTGGTCGTGCCACCCTGTTCGTAGTGTCAATTTCTCCAAAAGCCATTGAGAAGAATTAAGCAAGCGTACCAGCATCCGCCCGCCTTTTCCTGTCGCTCGAAAACACGAATTCGGTCAAAAGCTTTCTCCTGCGCCAGGGCATCGACAGCAATAGCCCCAGCCGGCCCCGTGCCGATGATTGCAACGCTTTTCACTTGCGGCATTGCGATGTCTTGGTGTAAACCGTAGGTCGTGAATATCTACAGCGCGTACTGGGACGGGTTGAAAAGAACCCAGACAATAACACCCTTTCAAAGAAATCAGTACAGATCAGTAAATGTTCAATGCCCGGGTGGAATGTCGCAAGACAAAGGATGTGGCTAATCATGGCGCCGGATTGCATCAGCGTGGACCACTGATAAGCCCAAGTGACATGGCTGACACATGGCTTATCAGACCCCAGGTCTTCTTGTTGGTTTCAAACTGACCTTATTCTCCGCTTGTTGTCTGCTTCGTGACTGGTGTCTCTGGTGACTGAAACCTACCCACGGTGGCGCCTGTCGGGCAAAAAACCATTCAGTCCCATTTTTTCCATTTCCATTCTGATTGGTCGGTTCCTGGAGAGAACCACGTGTAGGATTTGGTATGCACGTGCAAAGCAATGTGATTGGATGGTAGCCGAATCCGCTCTCGGCTTAATCCCGAGCTGAGATCAGCCACCAGTAGGATAGCCAGTTTGTTCTGCCGGCTCGACAACTGCTCTCGACTTCATCGAGGCAGGAGGAATTGCACATACGCAGTGAAGATCTATCAACATCATGAGATTTGACGTAAGTGTGACACGAGGCTGTGAAGGCTGCGATACGGAGGCGAGACCCTGAAGACGTCGGACCAAGGCTCCGGTTGTTTCAGATATGTGCTCTGGGTCGATTGATGTCACTGAGTCAATCCGCGATCTTCGGGATGCGGTGATTGATGAAACTGTCGTCAAAGACGGCGTGACCGACTCAGGAAGAGCAAGTAGACCTGCATCGCCCCTCATCACACAGCCCTTGCAGACTGATCATTGAGGGAATTGCCATTCCAGGTAGTCTTGACGAACACATCATCCTCAAGGCAATCGCCTCATGCATGGACATGAGATGGTCAGATGCATGTGCTTTTAGCCGAAGGTATGGTTTAATGTCTGTATCTCGCGCAGGGTCAGCACACTCTGCTGGAACTGCCTGGAGCTGTTTGGCAAGACTATGGCGCCATATCACGGCTGCAATGGATCTCGTTCACGAATCGAAACGGGATATTCTAACGAGTGTCGAATACAGTGAGGTTCGACACATTGTGTAGTGATAATCCTTGAACCAGTCGTTGAGGCGTGTTCCAGCCGTCAGGCGGAGGCCGATCGCTTCCTGTAACGACGCGAAACTCATCGAAAGTTTAAGACTCGACGCTCTCCACCAACGCTCAAAATTGGACTCGCTGCATTGCCGACCGTCCATGGAGACAGGGTAGACAGGCCCAAGAAAAGCTAGATCATGACGCTTGGCCAGGAAGCTTGTTGACAGATGACATGCTTGTTCTTCGGTGGAATAGGCAGGAAATGCTGTATTTTCTCCAATTACTTGGTCACAGTCGAACGGTGTAGGTTGGGCCCGTTGTAAACCTAATCTTTGCAGGCCACTAGCGAAACCCAAAAGATTCCCTGTTTCATCTAGAAGATTTCCTTAGTCGGCCATAGATAACCATGATGAGGGAAGCTCCAGGAGTCTGATACTGTATGATGTATATTGAACACGATCTGCTTCTGGCCCATGCAGTTCATGGCCGAGTCCCACTGGCTTTAGCTAGGGGTAGGAGGTAGATACCAACAGGGAGATTTGCGGGTTGTGGAGGATAATTCCACAATCACTGGCATTAGAGGAAAACTCCACGAGAGTCGTATCAAGGAAGGATGATTGCCACCTTGAGAGGGTGGAGTAAGTAGAGATGCGGAGGGACAGCAAAAGGCGGAGGGTGAGGAAAATGACTGCCTCAAGGTCCAGGCAACCATCGGCTCTGATTTCCACCTCCACCTCCACCTCCACCTCCACCAACTCCGCTGTTCTTCCGCTCTGCTTCCGCTCCGGGTCGAAATCCACTGCACTTGTCTCTTTTTTGAGTCTTGACCACTCAATCTCTCACAAACCCACTGGAACAAGAACTCAAGATCGTCGTTCCTGGAATTCCCATGGCTCTGCCCTAGGTGCTAAAATCGGGCCCGTTCGATCGATCTTGTCGGGCCTGAAGTGACTTTATCCACTACCTATAGTTCTACCCACCACTGACCCATCGACTTTGTTCGCCTGAAACACCACGGTGGATGACATGCAACGGTCCGTGATACTTCGCCAGAACCCTTGTCAATTTAAGAGTCTATGACAGTGTCGTGAAACATGAAGCTCTGAAACTCAAGACCCCCTCACCGACACTGATGACATTTTCTGGACTTCCCTACCTCATCCTTTTGTGCAGCCCAAACTCAAGATGCAAATGAGGCGATGACCTAGGTGGCACCATTGGAAAGGAGGAGGACGCGTCGTGCAAGGCGCTGCATTCTCCGGTGCAAGGCAAAAGATCCATGGACGACTGAAGCAGCGATCAAGAGGATGCTGCGAGCTCTGCAATTGATTGGTCGGCGGCTATCTATCTCCGATTCGGAGCTCCACCGACAACCATCGCAGCTCACCTTAATCCAAGGGCTGAATGGAGAGAGTTTGGGGTTGACCCATCCAGGCCGAGAAAATCCCCAAGTTCCTGTAAGTCTCTACGCCTCTGACCGAAGGCCCTGAGCACCCACAGGTTCTGTCGCCAACCCGACTTGTTCTTCATTGGCCAGCAGTGCGATAACGTCTGCGATGGGCGTGCCCTACTTGAGCCCTTGCGTGCTTAGAACAAAACCTCGTTTTTGGGCCTTGCGACCCGTCACGTCATTCTAGCTTCGAACCACCGAAAGAAATCCAGGACTCACCACTGTTTCAAAATAGTGAGATCCGTCTTGCCATCAGGGTCTCTGGCAGACTGTCACGACTTGCGGCCTCGGCATTTCGAAGTCATTGTTCAGCTGCGGGGCGAGACCCATCCGCTCAGACTTCCCTTGATACAATCAGAACGATATCGGCATGTGCATGAAGAAGTCATCGCTGCCAATTGCCGGCTGTAGACCTGGACCGTAGATTCCAGTTGGGGAATACTTGTTTGTTGATCCTTCACTTTCAGCACAGCATGATGTTCCACCGAGATCTATAAAGGATCCTTGAAATCCCCTCCGGTTATGTCTTTTGCTATCAGGCTTCAGTGCTCTCTCGATCGAATCCGGTACTCATTCGCTTCTTCCATTGCCCATCACTTTCGCTTCTACTTTACTTCTTCGCTTTAACCAGCAATCTTTCAGCATGAAGCTTCAGAACGTCGCTCCTCTGTGCCTTGTGGGCTACGCCCTGGCCTTGCCCGCGAACGTCGATAAGAAGAGACAGGATCTCTCCAACCTTCCTCCTATTCCAACTGGGCTTGTGCCATCTGGGCTTATTCCCTCGGGGCTTCCAATCCCTTCGCAGGGTCCAGGATCCGAGCTGCCTACACTCACTGTTCCCTCGGGCTCGCCCGTCGAGAAGCGCCAGGACTTGACCGACCTTCTCCCCTCGAGCATTCCTCTTCCCTCTGGTTTGACGGAGATTCTGTCCCAGCTGGGCATCACCCTTCCTTCGGATATTCCTCTCAAGAAGCGCCAGGACCTGTCGCAGATTTTCCCCTCCGGGGTTCCGATCCCATCCGCAGTGTCCGGTATCCTGTCCGACCTGGGTATTACCCTCCCTTCCGATATTCCTCTCAAGAAGCGTCAGGAACTCGAGTCCCTTCTTCCTTCTGGCACCCTCCCCTCTAGTCTTCCCATCCCTAGCGGGGTGAACGATATCTTGTCCAACCTCGGAATCACTCTACCCTCGGACTTGCCCATCAAGAAGCGTCAGGACCTGTCTAGCATCCTCCCATCGGGCCTTGCGATCCCATCCGGAGTGACCGACATCTTGTCTGACCTGGGTATCACTCTTCCTTCGAACTTGCCTCTGAAGAAGCGCCAGGACTTGGAATCGCTGATTCCCTCCGGCATCCTGCCCTCCGGCCTCCCGATCCCCACTGCAGTCACCGGTATCCTGTCCGACCTGGGTATCTCTAAGCGTGACGACAAGGAGCCCGAGGCCGTGCCCACCGGTGGATCCGCTTCTACCAATGCCACCCAGCCCATCAGCAGCAGCAGCCTTCCCAAGCCCACCGGTATTCCTGTGCAGCCTTCCAGCGGCGGTGTCGTCGAGCCCCTTGTTGACACCTCCAAGTCAGCTCAGAACTCGAGTGAGTCCGCCAGCGGTGGCAGCTCTGCTCAGCCTTCTAGCGCCGGCCCTCAGGCTACTGGCACTCCTCTTGCTCCCTTCCCCGGCTCCCCTGAAATCCCCGCTGCCTCCCCTAGCTCCTCCGCTTCGGTCCGCAGCGCTTTCCCCTTCCGGGCTTGAATGAATGCACCTACGTAGTAGGCTTCACGGTCCCGCAACGGTATCACAACCTACGATGGCTGCAGTCTAAGGGTGATATCCAATATACCGTTTGCATGACTGCACGTTGTATGAATCGAATGGTGGATTCCGGCTGGCCGGCATTTCTTGTTTGTCTACGGCCATGGATTATCTGGTGGAATGGGGTCTGCTTGTATTAGAATATGCTTAGATAGTTTTGGTTTCAATGGAGTCTTTGTTGCGTTATCTAACTAGTCTCTTGTTCCGCAGACCGCTGCTGCAACGATGCTGTACACAAGTGCGCTACACATGATTGTCATCCAGACATCGTTCTTCCAACATCATCTTCAATACCTTCAAGTGTCTCATCTAGGTGATGCTCTTTTGGATCGCCTCTCCATAACGGGGTTTGCCTTTTGTTTGTGGTTCCCCTGTCGTATGTCGCAAGGATATGTTCACAAGGTCGTTTCGTCGTCAAGATCATTCCCATTTCAGTCGCAACTGTTGTGTCATCACATCGACATGACATCGTCCCTCCTCCGATCATCGCCATCGTGACGTTTCACCTCCCCAAAAAAAGTCCCTTCATCTTCAGACTCGAGCAGCCTGCCCCACCCGACCCTGCAACGTAGTGGCCGCCGTCATCAGCCGCTCTGCCTGATTCAACACGACATACCACGCATCCTGATCAAACCGCGGCTCCGCACTCAACGCCTCAACAATCCGTCCAATACTCGCCGCCATCCGCTCCATCTGCTCCACGGCGAACGAGCAGTACATGTCGATCGAAAGATCTTTGTTCAAGTGCGTATCACATCCCCCACTGAAGAACGCCCGATGCAGGGACTGGTAGAACAGGCGGTATCGCTCGATCGTCTCGCTGCTGAGCCCATGCAGCTGCGCAATGCTCGGCAGCTCGCGGAGACAGGTCTCGCACCGGCTCATGCCCTCGAGCAGGTGGATGACGTATTCGATGTCGTCGGCCCGGAACTGTGTCCCTTCGCTGGCGGGGTACGGCCCCCGGAGATGGTTGCGCAGCCGGTCGCTCTTGATCTGCAGGCACATGCAGGACACGGGCTGGCCGCTGCAGAATGCATCCAGGATGAGTTTTGCGTAGTTCGGCTGGCAGTACAGCTCTTTTGGGCTGGCTGCGCAGGTCCAGGCGGAGCTTGCCTGGGCGGCGGTCTCGTCGTGCTTCTTTTCGGAGGGAGATGGAAGAGGAGAGGCCATTTCGGCTTGTGGGTGGTGGGGTTCCATCGCTGAGGCGAGGAAGGCCACGCTGCGGGATTGCAGCTTGGTGATCAAAGCTTTGAGAGCTTTGCGGTTCATCTTGTAGGTTTTTGGAGAGAGGATTGAGGAGCGTGAGAGGAGTGAGGAGCTTGATGTTTTTGCTTGAGGAGCTTGACAATTTGGAGGAGCTTGAAGATTCGCTCGACTCAGTGGTTTTGGTGGTGTTTTGGTTGCGCTCAACTCGTGGTTTTAGTGGTTTTTTGGTTGTGCTCAACTCGGTGATCTTGGGTATGAAGATCTGCTTGACTCTGAGGTTTTTTGGAGGTTGGAGTGAGGTTTTGGTGAGGTTTAGAGAGAATCAAGGGAGTGGTAGGAGAGAAGAAAATTCGACGGGGGCAAGAGAAAGAGAACTACACAGCGTTCCCCCTGAAGTGAGTTGATTGTGAGGTGAACTTGACTCTATACTGACTCTATGCTATTGTCATACCGGAAGTGTTTTCCGTGTAGAAGCATCTGCGGGTAAGGGATCGCGCCCTGCGTTGCAACAGTTGCACTTACGCAGTAACAGTAGCATTATTCCTGAGCAAAAGAAAGCCTAGTATCCATGGATCTGTGTATAAACTTTTCCTATGTCGTCTGTATAGGATAATCGGACACTAGGTGGCCCAAGGAGATGTAGCTGATGCCGCGATATCCATTTCCATTTTACCCTCCCTGGCCACCATTTTTACAACTCTGAAATTCATAAGCAGCCACATCCAGATAGTGCCTTTTACAGGGTTGTAATATAGAGGCAGTCTGCACCTTAAGCAATGTTCCTTCGAGTGTCTGTATTTTTTATAGGTAAGATGATGTATATAAAGCCGAATTACAGCCAGATCTACTTCTGCTTCTAGCAGTGGAGCGCGGAGAGATGTAAAAATCGTGGCCACGGAGGGGTAGTTCAATCTCGATCCAAAGCCCGTGGATCTTGTTGTATTTCAAATTCTTCCTGCCAAAGCTAGCAGGTGAGCAACACACTGGCGGGACGAATCCAAAGATAATATCAAGACTAGAACTAGAATTCTAAATATAGGCCTTGGGGCGTGGGTGGCTGTTTGCTTACTGCGGCCGTTCCAAGGATCATCATGTCTGGGGTGGTACTGGACAATCCATAATAAAAGTTCAAGACATGTTGTGAGAGAGGAACAAGTGCATTGTTTTGTTTGGTTGACAATCTTGGTTGGAAGTGTACGGAGTAGAAAGACCGAGATGATCTCATAGTCTCATGCTAAAACCCACAGTGGGTGGAATGGCGGGGCTACAGGGCTGAGCCTGAAGTCTTAAGAGACTTACAGCTGGGACACGCGTCAACCATTGATGCAGTCAAGCCAATTGCTGTTGAATTGCTGATCCCGCGGTCTTTATTTTCTCCTCCGCCCGATTTCCCCTCTCCCGTCGCTCGTCACCCTCTCTCACTTGGTCTTACCACTTGATCTCCTCATCCATCATCCTTTCTCTTTCTCCCTCTCCCTCTCCCTCTTTTCCATTCCTATTCCTCCACCTCTCCCTTTCTCTCCCTCACTATCTTCTAAATTCTAGACATCCTTTCCATTCTCCCTTTGCACAGCTTGACCAAGTTCAATAGAAAGCTCCTTTTCCGCTCTCGCACCGCCTCAGCGCCCGCCCTCAGCAGACGTCACACACCCCACGGAACCTTGGCGATTAGGCAGACGCTTTCCTCTGTTTTTTCCAACCTTCTAGAAGTTTTCGAAGCTATTCTTACATATAATTGTGACCCTGGTCTTTCGAGATACAAAGTCGGCCCATTATCGTTTCCTGGTGACAGGAATTAATCCGGACTGTCGCTCACGATGGCCGCAACGAACTCCTCCGCCCCTCTTCTTCCTAACGGAACCCAGTCGGTCGGCCTCGCGACCGACTCGCCCTCCACCACGACCACTAATACCTCCACAAGCCAGATCTTGACCGGGAAGCAAGAACATTGTTAGTACCTGTCGCAGCGCCCTGCGGACACGATTGCTGACGGTCGCAGATCTCAAGCGCGAACTCATCGCCCGACAAGTCCAGGGCGAAATCGCCGAGTTGAACTCCCCTACAGCCCTGCAACGCTTCGGCGCCCCCTTCAAGTCGGAATTCGGTGAAGTCGCTCCAGTCGATTCTGAACTCCCCATCCTCCGATATATCTTCGTGCACCATGTGCGCAACTTCCCATTCCTGGATAAGGCTCGCGAGAAGGAATTCTGGCAAGATAAGCTTCAAGTGGTGCGTATATTCCTCACCATTGAGCCCCGATCCTATCATGCGAAGCGCTAATCGCAAGGTTGTAGTTTCTCGAGTCATTCGCAAAGAAACATGTGTCTTCGTCGGAGGATCGCCTGGAAGAGACGAAGCGCAGAAAGCTGGCGCGCAAATGCGAAAAGCTGGTCGAGCTAATGATGGTTTCTGGAATCCCTACTGCATCGGGCTATGAAGAACGCATTCAGTTTTCGGAGATGGAAGTCGTGGATCGCGGGGCCAACGAAAAGGGTTTGTTGGTCAACATGCCTGAAGGAAACTCAATTCACGGATGGGACATCAATGTGGCTGCGGTCCGGGTTACATCGGTCAGACGGACTGTGCGATATCATCAACATGCAGTATGTTCAGAGAAATCTTCGAGCAATTGAAGAACATCACTAACACAGTTCTGACTAGGAATTCATTATTCGGGTGCGCCGAGATGGGAAGCAAGATACCTTCGTGGCTCGTCGATACGGCGATTTCTCTAGGCTGCACAAACGGTTGCGCACTGAGTTTCCCGGGAAGCCACTGCCTCCGCTGCCACGCAAGAACAAGTCTTCATTGACATCCAGCATATTTGGCTCTGCAGACGACGAAGCCTCATCAATTTCTTCTGTTTCCACTCAAGACACGAGCGCAGTAGACGACGGCTACTCATCTCGCAACCTAGCGCCCGGCAACCACCATACTCGTTCACTGTCACGGTCTTCCATGCGGTCGCTCCGGTCGCCTAGGGCCTCAGGAGACGCGCCCCGGGAAACGGTGCTCTACAGAGAGGAACAGCGAGTCTCCCTTCGAGCGTTTCTCCGTACTCTGCTACAGAACAAGCGGGTGGCGGACACCAAAGCTCTCGAGGACTTCTTGACTGCCAACCCGATTACTCTGAATGAAGAGGAGAAAATGGATATGCAGAAGCGCAAAGAGGTAGATGCTGTGCGGATTGAGGAGCAGAAGCGGTTTTATGAAATCGCGAGAGCGCGAGCGGCTGAGTTGGACGCGTACATGGAGAATTTCCGCCAGGATATCGTCGAGAGTAGTAAGTTGGGTTTGTATCCTGCTCAAGTGCTGCTATACTGATCCAGTTCTAGATGGATTGACGAAACTTTTCGCTGAAATTAAGGAGAAGCCGACAGTGGAGGATTTGAGCCCACAATACCAGAAATTCGCCGAATGGCTACGCATTGAAGTTGCCGCTACGCTCTATCATCTTTTCCTGGCCGAGGACAATTCTCCTGAATTGTTCGCGCAAGCCAAGAGGATCCACTCTCTTGTCCCTTACAGTCTTCTGAAAAATGTCATTCGCATTGCCAACCCGGCAGCTGTGATGTCAGGAGTACTGGACCTCTTTCTGGCTCAACCTTTTGGCTCCCGGTCCTTACTCCAACGCATATTTTCTATGACTTTGAACGACGGGATCAGAGCTTTCCAGAAGTCAATCGATGCGCTGGCCGCGACGGTTGAAGATCCTGTCCTTTGCCAAAAGTTGAAGGCTTTCACCGACGCCGACGAAGACTTGAAGAATGAGATTCGCGCCGAAGCCACCGCAGAGGATGTTGACATCATTGTGGCGATTCTCAAGACGGAGCTTATCTCTCCTGAGTTGACCCCAGAACAGTTTGGTAAGGTGTTCAATGCCTACGTTGCCTGGAATCAGGCTGTCGAGAGTGTTGACGCGGAAATGCGAGAAGGCGCTCATTGGTTTGCCAATCTGAAGCAGCTGCTCAAACTCTACACCCGCCAGCGGGACAAGACTATGATGCTCAGCATCGTGGAGGAGCCGGTTACTCTGCAGCTCTTCCGCGACCTCTTCACAATTTTCTACGAGCCGCTCGTGAGGGTCTACAAGTCGGCCAATGTCTACAACAGTATCACGGACTTTGCACGCTTTGCGGATGACGCCATCGCCGTGATCGAAAAGTGTCATCGACAGGATGTGTCTGCCGACCCCAACCAGACTGTTCAAGCCTTCATTGATCTTTGTGAGCGCCACCAAAGCAGCTTCTACAAGTTTGTGCATGAGGTGCACTTACATGACAACGGTCTGTTTGGATCCCTCATGGCATGGATTGAAGACATTCTTGAATTCCTGCGCAAAGGACCACGTGGTGGCAAGCTAGACATGAATGCCCTACTCACAGGAGCAAGGGATGTGGGCCAGATCGACAAAGACAAGGCATTGGATGAGATTAACGCTCTTATCAAATGGCATGCCGATCGGAAACGGTGGCACCTCAACAAGACCAGACAGAAGATGGCAGCTGAGGGAACTGGCAATGAGATCATTCCTGGTAGCACGACCTTCAGGAGCAGTGACTTCGGTTTGGATGAGGTATGAGGACCCCTGCGTCAGTTGAAGAGGCGAGCAGTGCATTTGCTAACCAATGGTTCTTTTAGGCCGATCTTGAGGACCTTGCCATTTCAGACGAAGAGTCTGACGCGTCCGATGAGTTGGATGACGAAGATGATCTCGATCCCATCACGGCTGAGCGGAGACGTCGGGTCAAGAAGCAGGATCAGCTCCGGCGTACGGCGGGAGAGCCCGTCAAGCCGGAGATCCGGGAGATACTCAAACTATCCGAGTCGTTTGGTGTTATGTTGCGACAGGTGCTTGCGGATTAGATGCACGTGCATTGTTAAGATACCCTAGAGTCTCTAGATCACCCATACACAGCGTTTATATAGTTCTGGTTGTTGGCATTCGGGCATGGGTTATATATCGGGTGGAGTAAGCAGGGAAGTTCTTACATGAGTCAAGACTAGCTTGATACTGTGTTTTCACATAGCCGTAGTAATCTTAGTATAGATCCATAGTAATTACATGAAGAATTTTACTTCGAAAAGCACTGGATTCAGACTCCGAGGGCGGTTGGAATAAAGTGGGAAGCGGGCCGGCGGATCAGTGAATCAGTGAAACAATCCGTGGTGAATCAGTTTCCGAGACTTCAGTTTCCATGGCGACAATCTTTGACAGGGGCCACTACTGATGTTAAGTTATACATCCATACATAGAAGTTATCATCCTCTCTTGCGTACTTAGATGTCTGCATCTCATCTAACACCTGGCCCAAGACACCTCATACACTTCTTGTCGACATCCTAGCCATGATTTCCCCGTCGCCGCGCAAGGCTATTCGCCTCAAAGGGCTTTTTGTGGAGGGGATGTGGCACTGCAATTGTCCTGATCGAAAGCCTGCGAACAAGTTCCAATGTAAGAATCACGGAACAAACCATGGTCGATACTGTATGCTATACCCCTCTCCGGTGTTGCGATTGACTGAGCGACTGAGCGACTAATCGCGGGTGCTGCCCCTCCTTCTCTTCTGCCTCTCCGCAGTTTACACATGCGAAAACAAGAAATGCGACTTCTTCCTCTGGGCCAGCGACGCCGAGCTGCGCGAGAAAGCCACCGTCCTCTCCAATTCTCGATCGGAATCAGATCCTGCAACGACCCAGACTCCCACCAAGAGACCTCGAGTATTCAACGGTCTCCTCACCCCACAGACAGAGCCGCGCTTCCATCGCCGCAGCCCCGCAACGGGCGGCGGGCAGCAGAAGCAACAGCAGCAGCAGCAGCTCAGCCACATGTTCCCCAGAAGCGCCAAGGCGCGCATGATGTCAGAAGACATCGATGAATTCGAGTGGGACGACGACGTCGGGGCCGAAGTAGGCAAACTGTTGGACGCGAAGCCAATCCGCCAGCCCAACTTCGGACCTCCCAAGGCCCACCAGGGTCCAGCTCCTCGCGCGCACCAGCCGCCGCTGTCCTTGACATCCCCGATGAAGAGAAAGTGGTCGGACACGGAAGATGATCACGAGTCCAAACTCGGCCGTCATACCTCGACCGCCTCATTCGCGCAAGTCACATCCCGCTCGTATACCGATCGCGTCCCATCCTTCTCGTCGGCGACCGCGGCGCCGCCCTCGTCTATGGAGATATCAATGTCGCCGACCCCGACTCGGTTTCGGGATGCTATGGCTGGGGGAGATGAGACGCCGCTGGACGCATCGCAGCTGGCTTCGCAGGCCGTCCGGATCTTGGAGAGTCATGGAGTAGCTCTTCCCAAGCAGGCACAAGATGAGCTTATGTCCCTGCTTGATAAATATGATCTGAAGATGATGGGGATTATCCGGGGACGAGACATCTCGCGCGTGGCGTTGAAGAAGAAAGATGAGCAGATTGAGCAGTTGAACGCGCGACTTGCGAAGCTGGAGGGACGGAGTTAGGGCAATGCTTTGCCTTTGCAGGGATATATGATACCATGTTTCGATGTATTTTCTTTGACTTTTTTTTACCTATTCGTCCGTGCTCGTTCTTGCTCGGTGCTACGCTATAGCTCTGCGCGGACCATAATGTTTCCTAGTCTGCTGTGCGGACGTTGACTTGACTACTGTATTTATGAATGGCTTGACAAGCGAATGTTTCTAACTGTATTCTATTGAGCTCACTACGATCGATTCATGGTGGCATCATGTGATTGTGAGGCCATACAGATCTTATCCCCATCACGTGCTGATAAGCGGGCCTCCACAGTCTCGACTCCATGATTTGAATCAAAAAAAAGTTACACCTAAGCTTCCGGCTACGTGACTACCCTACGATCGGCTTATCTTTCATGATCAATGTCCAGCAGACCTTCGAAGCGCATCAAATCGCAGCATCAATCCACCTCGACTCCGATGTCCAAGGAAACTGACTCCGAGACGAAGCCGGTTCGCAGCGACATCCCCGCCATGTTTCGGCCCCCCGTGAATCGCGCCATGCGCGTGCTGGACCGGTCGTTCTTCAAGCGAACGGTGCCGGTCTCTGCTGCCACGATCTTTAAGACCTCGGATATTGCGACGGTGCGACAAGCACTGCACAAGAAGCGCGACTTGTTGGCGCTGCCCAGAATGGCCACGCTTCGGGATATCAAGCAGGAAGAAGTCGTGCGCAAATGCTTGTTGCTGCGGGAGGAGATCAAGCATGACGGTCAGGCCATCTTCTCTTTGATGTAGAGCAACGAACTGATAGAAGGCTTAGATACGGCGACCTGGTCTCCTACCGTCTCCGAATTGGTTGAGAAGGGCATGGTGAGCGTTGGCCCTTACGATTTGACGATTGACTATGATTACTGGTCCTATGGTACTCACGATTCTACCCCGATGCGCAATTTCTGTGGACTAATCTCCTCCCAGCCGACATCATGGCATCCATTCTCCCCGAAGAGCTGTGCGATGAAATCCCCCAGGGCTTCACCCAAGTCGGACACGTCTGTACGTACTGCCTCCCACCGCCAGCCAAGCCGTTCGTGCCCTTAACTAACCATTCCACCCAAACCAGCCCACCTCAACCTCCGCGAACAATACCTTCCCTACAAACAGATCATTGCCGAGATCCTCTTGGACAAGAACCCCACCGTGAAGACGGTGATCCGCAAGACCGACGACGTGGGCTCCCACAGCCAATTCCGCACCTTCCCCTTCGAGCTGCTCGGGGGCGTGAATGACCTGAACGTCATCCAACACGAACAGAACTGCGAATTCCGGTTCGACTACTCGCGGGTGTACTGGAACAGCCGGCTGGAGACGGAGCACCGGCGGCTGGTGGACAAGTTCCGGCCCGGGGAGATGGTCTGCGACGTGATGGCGGGCGTGGGCCCCTTCGCCGTGCCGGCGGGCAAGAAGAAGATCTTCGTCTGGGCCAACGACCTCAACCCGCACGGGTACGAGGTCATGCAGGACGCGATCAAGCGCAACAAGGTCGACAAGTTCGTGACGCCGCACAACCAGGACGGGCGCGACTTCATCCGGTCGTCGGCCCGCCGGCTCCTCGAATCCCCGCTCACCGTGACCATCGAACCCAAGGTCCGCCGCAGCCAGAAGGACACCGCGCCGCCGCCGGAGGTGTTCCACCGCCCCACCGTCTTCCAGCACTACGTGATGAACCTGCCCGGCAACGCGATCGAGTTTTTGGACGCCTTCGTCGGGGTGTACGCGGGCGAGGAGGCGCGGTTCGCGCCGCACACGGAGCAGAAGCTGCCGACGGTGCACGTGTATTGCTTCTCGGGCCATTCCGAGGACGAGCACGACGACCATGTGGATATCTGCCAGCGCATCTCGGAGCGCATTGGGTTTGAGATCACGACGGAGGACCGCGTCGGGGGCAGTGGCCGGCAGGAGCTGGAGCTGGCCATTCACAACGTGCGGTTGGTGAGTCCCAACAAGCAGATGTTCTGTGCCAGTTTCCGCCTGCCGGAGGAGGTGGCCTTCAAGAAGGTTTAACCTGTCGCAATGGAGAATGGGTCCGGCGGACTGTCTGAACAGTTGAAACACATGATACTCGTGGTATATCGCATAGCCTACATGTATAAAGGGCGTTTATTTCGATTCGAGAGTGTAAAAAGAAGTTCCTGAAAACACCAGAACAATGTTAAAATGATACCCTACACCTTGTTCCTTTACTTCATGCCCAGATCATGAAAGAGTTAGCCTTGTAAACAATGTGCACAAACAGTCCTAGCACAAGACACAGTATAGTATACCCAGTAACGTCACTGTGTTCTTGTTATCTCCTAGTGATTAATACTGATAATGATGATAACAAAAAAACCACGCCTCACCGCCTCCCCCGCCCTCTCCGCCCACAGCAAGCTAACTTACCGCCTTCACCTCACCTCAACCTTTGTCCGTCCGCAAAACAAACTCGGCGCCGACCTACCTCAACCCCAACATCCCCGGCCCGGCCATATTCAAGCGTACCTCACCTCACCTCACCTCACCGAATCCACTACATCGCAAACCACCGACTCCATCGGCGCGCGCGTTAATCACAAGTCACGAACATCGCGGCTACGAACGAACGACCCAAGACCACCAGCAAAAGCAAAAGCAAAAGCCCAAGCCCAACAAAAAAAATGAGCTTCCAACTCCCCGCCCCGACGCACCGCAAGCGCACCCTCCCGCAGGGCGAACTCGAGGCGGCTTCGACGCTGCGCCTGGGCGCAGACCAGAACACCCATACGCTGTCGTTGTCCGAGGCGCGGTTGGTCATCAATAAGGTGTTGGAGAATAAGCGGCGCGGAGGGAAGAAGTATGAGGAGCCTGAGTGAGTTGCATCTTTTTTCTTTCTCGTGGGGGGAGGGGGGGGGCTTGGGGCTTGTCTTGGCTGGTTGGGATGGGGATGGGGGTTATTTCGAGGAGGTCGAGAGTTGCGACTGGGGGTGGGGGTATCGAGTTTGGGAATGATTGCAGTGGAGGGAAAACCGAACTACGCGTACCCGCAACATGGCCATGGCTAACTGATGTGAGAAGAAACCTGACCAAGACGCTCGACTACCTGGAGGTGTTTGCGCGGTTCAAGGACGAGGAGAACATCAAGGCGGTGGAGCGGTTGCTGAACTCGCATACGGAGTTGGAGATGTTTGAGCGGTCGCAGCTTGGTTCGTTTTCCCTTTCTTCCTTATTTTATTTTATTTTGTCGGGACAAAGTTCGGGGCATGGGCCAGCTGGGCAGTAACTAATGCTTTGTCTGGTGCACAGGCAGTCTCTGCTGCGATAATGCGGAGGAAGCGAAGTCGCTCATCCCCAGTCTGCAGCATAAGATCTCGGATGGGGATCTGCAGGAGCTGTTGGATGAGTTGACCAAGTTGCGGAACTTCACGGAGTGAAGTGTGGTTTTGGGTGATCTGCTTCCCCTTGGTTTTGGGGCTTGGAAAGGTTGGGAGGGAGGGAAAGGGATATTCTAGCATGGAGTTCTGGTGTTGTTGTTTTTTTGTGTCTTGTTATGGTGGTGATGTGTTGGGCAGTGGGAGGGGGTAGGTATAGTAGAGGGATTTGTTTATGGTAGGGGGGATGGTGTCGTCATGGGGTTTGTAGACTAAGTATCCCTAGGTTGAGACTCGTATAGTGTACGGTAGATGTGATTGATGTACTCGAGTATGCCCACGGAAATCTCCTCAAAGGCGATCGCATCTTTCGGAAAGTCAATAAAATCGCCGGAGGTCACACCAAGCCAATAAGAGGCGTGATATAGTCGGTTCAAGCTCATGAGATAATCAGCGTACTATAGTTACTACCTAGTAGGTACTTGGTTATCAAGTCCAACCAGGCATCGGGACGAGGCAGTTGGCTGAAACTTGGGCAACCAGCCCCAAACTCCAAACTCCCGATGAACTCGGACGAGAAATTGAGTCATCCTCCTGGTCATTAAGTAATGAGAATTGGAACCGGGGCATGTGTCGCAACTCCGGGGGAACTAAAGAAGTGAACTAGACCCTAAGTTCTAGGTTAGTATACGCATACTTCGTATTACTATGGACAATTATTGTCTGATTCCTGTTCCCCAGAACAACAGAAACCAACGCGATAAGGTGGTCAGACACAATCAGACACAACGACCGTGCGGGATGCCCCCTGCTCTGCTGGGGGAAAGAGATTAGATCCATCCTCAGCCACGGAGTCTGTGTGTCAAAGTATAAGTATAAGTATAAGTAGGAAGGGAATTGGCTACTGGCTACGGGGACAACGTTAGAGTTGGTGGCAGTGGTCTATTCTAGGTTAGATACTGGGAGTGTGAGTGACTGTACTACTCCGTACAGTTCTCGGACAGCTCTCCTCCGGCCAGCATTTTCATTATTAAGGACTGGCGGCAGAGCTGCCCAAGGAGGCGGTCGTCCACCAATCAACTACTGGAGAGATGCATTCCAGATCATTACTTTTCATCTTACCTACTGTAGGAGTTTTAAGTTAAGGTACCTTTGGTCATTGCAGTTCCAAGCGCATGCATTTGTTGGTCAGTGGTCAGTGATCACTGGTCACTGGTCTGGTCGCCGGGTTTGGCGTCTGGCCGGCGAAGCCTGGAGGGCTGTGGGGAAAGAAAAGCCGCCGCTGCAGGGCCGATCCCCGTTGCCGGTCTGCCGCTATCCCCCTTTGGGTTCTCGACTGTCTGTCTGATTGGTGTCTCGATAGCGTTATCGGGATGATGTGATTGGAGGCTCTGCTGAGTAATGCAGGTTTCCCGACAGGCGCACCAGTCACAATCCCCCCGCCTCTTTCCCCGGCTCATTCTCCGTCCCAATCCCATCAGTTCATCAGCGCGTTGCTCTCGTGCGTAAGTGCTTAAGTGCTTAGTGTCGGAGGGAAGCAGATCTGATCAATTGGGAGATAAGTACAAGGCATAGCAACTGCCCAGCCCTGGTAGATACCGTATTTATCCTGATCGCACCAAGTAAGAATCACATCTAAACCTTTAGCCACAAGCCATGAAACGGTCAACCACAACTTCCTCCATGGGGTGGTAGAGGGATTCCAGTACGTAATACCAAGTCCCCCTCGGTTGCCCCCCCAGACCACCAGATCCAATCACGCCCGCCCGGCTTATCGCTTCCAGCAGTCGAAGGGCGCAGGAACTGGCGGCGAACAACTTACTGTTACGTGTGGGAAATGCTCTCGATGGAGAGAGTCGGATCCCTCCTCGCTGATCGATCGCTTCATCCGGAGATTCTCTTATTGATCCTGATGACTACCACGATTTGCTGCGCAGAGTCATTCTGTCATGGCCAGTATATTATTATGACTCCCCATGGCTGGAGGGGGGAGGGGGGAGGGCGGCAAATTCAAGAGAATCCCATCATCACCTTGGGACGTTTCTGTGATTGATTCTCTTCTCTGTTTTCTGCTTTGCAGGAGAAAAGAGCAAAAGAAAGAAACCGGATTCCTGGTGGATGCTATAGTTATATACTATACTATCCAAGTATCTGGGAATCCGAAACAGGAACAGTGTGATTGACTACACTACCTACCTACTATCTATTCTCAGCTCAGCTCAGTCTATCCTCCCTGATTATCTATGATTGATTATCGATTTCGATTATCATCATCATCATCATTATTATTGTCGTCACCATCGTCTCAATAAGATTATTACTGTTGTTGTTCCTCTGCCTGTCCTCCCCGCCGGCGCTCCCTCGAGCCTTCCCAATTGAGTTGCTCCGGTTCCGCTGGCTGCTCTTGCCTGTTGTAACTCACTCTCAGTCTCTCCCTCTCCCTCCCACGCTCTTCTTCAACCTCTCTCTTACTTTCTTACCCTCTCACCCTCCCCCTTCTTCTTCTTTATCTTTTCTATTCTACCACACTTTACTTGTGACCCCCCCGCTAGCTTCATCAGTCGCCCCCCTCCTACAATCCGTTGCTTGGTTGTCCGGTTATTTTCCCTGATAATTCCCTGATAAGCTTCTCCGCTGCGGTTCGTACTTGGCCCCCCCGTCAAGCCCCGGCAGCTATTGGTCGGTGCGTTGGACTATCGCCCGCCGCTCTGCAGGAAAGGAATACCAATTCCCTCCAGGCGAATCCTCACTACCAACCACCACGGCGTCAGCAGTATTCCCCCCAGATAATCCCCTAACAGGGGATCAGATATCAGACAGGGACTACTCCGGCCTGACTACGAGTCAGCCATCCCTCTAGATTGATCTTCCGTCCCTGGGATTGCGGAGCCCTGTGACGGCGGACGTTCCGGGTCGCCCCGGTGCTATTTACGTGACCCCGAGTCGCTATCGTGCAGTATTATTATCATTTGTATTCTCATTATTACTGCCTATCTGCGATTGCGATCAACCATTCGTGAGATTGGCACTCGATCTATCGCCTATCTCTCACCTCCCACTCCTCCCCTGTCTTGTCTCTCCCCGTATTCCCCCGGACCTATCTCCGTGGGCTGGCCTATCGCCCTATCACCTACCTGGCGCTCGACCTGCCCATTCCTGCCTTCCTGAATGGCTGCTGTTATCACCCTGCAGTCGTCCTCGACGACTGGCCCAACAGGCCCTTCAGCAGCTTCTTTCCAACAATCCCCTTCCTCTGACCACCAACTACTTCGTCCCCGGATCCCGCAGTCCTCCCAAGCCCAACAAACACCTGCCCCCCAGCCCGGTTCTCTATCTACGCCACACTCGCCTGTATCTTCCGTGGGAACGCTCCCTCGTGTCACCGCGCCAGGTCGGGATGGGTCGAGTTGTGACGCATGCGTGCGCAGAAAGAGCCGGTGTGCTATGAACGAAATGGTGAACAAGTGTTATTCGTGCGACTTTCACCGGCAGGACTGTACCTTCACACTGGCGGTGGCCAGTCGCCCCGGCACGGCCGACTTGCAGGCGAAGAAGCGGAAACTGGACGAGACCGAATCCGAGGAGCTGGGATCGCCTAAGAGGTATGATTTCACCGGGCACGGCCGATCTCGGACTTGGACTCGAGATATAGTAGGACTTTCAGCTAATCAACATCCCCGCCGCCAGGTTATCTACCCTTCCCCCGGTGCTGGCCAAATCCGACCCTGCCCGCCCACCCTTGAATCACACCCTCCCTCACCACCAACCTGATCATCAATTGCCCACTTCCTCCTCCTCGTTCTGGCAACATTCCATCCAACATATCGGCCTCACCACCGACTTAGAGCCCGCCCTCCTGGACTTCTTGCCCTTGGATCAGAACCAAGAAGGGTTTGTGGCTGCCTCCCGTGTGCGGAAGTTTAGTGACGACGGCACCTTCATGCGGGTGGTCAGCACTCGATCGCCCGCGGACTCGCCGCACACTGCTTCCTTGGACGCCATCGAGGGCCTGGTCGCTCCCTATGGCTCCACATTAGTGGAGAAGTTTTTCGAACACGTCCATCCCACCTTCCCCGTTCTCCTTGAAGACAGTTTCCGACAGTCCTATCGGGCCCGGAGTGGCCTGTCACCACTGCTTCTCTCTGCTGTCTATGTCCTCGCTTTGAAGTTCGTCGACGTTGGCCCTGCGTCTCAGACCATCCGGCGTCCCGATGCCGGCCGCTTGGAGAGCACGGCCCTTCGGCTTTTGGTTGAGTCGCTTCCCTATGCCTCCATCTCTACTATCCAGGCGGGACTGCTTCTTATGCAGAGGTCAAACCTAGCCACAGCCGCGTTGACTGCGCAGCTGGTCACAGCCGGCTTTGAGCTTGGCTTGCACCAGGACTGCTCTAATTGGCGGATGGACACATGGGAGAAAGGGCTCCGAAAACGCTTGGCATGGGCCCTATACATGCAGGATAAGTGGTCCGCGCTTGTGCATGGACGGCCGTCTCACATCTTCGCCTCCAATTGGATGGTTCAGGACCTGGTGGAGCAGGATTTCACCGACGCTTTCGCTGCCTCAGCACAACACGACGATGCGCCCGTCGGCCACGGCCCGCTATCCTTCTGTCACATGGTGGCTCTGACCACCATTCTCTCCGACATCTTGGATCGTTTCTATACTTTACAGGCGATTGAGGAATTCAAGGCGGCGGGAAACAATCGGACTCGGATGATTCTCGAACGTGCCAAGCCGGCCCAGATTCGGTTAAAAGAATGGTTTGGCCGCCTTCCGTCGGAGTTAAAGATGGACTCGGGCGGCGATCTGTTCGAGGTCGTCACTGAGGACAACGCTCGCAACGGTGCCTTACACCTAGCCTACTTCGCAACGGAGATCACCCTACACCGCTGCATTGTGCGGTCGCTGGCGCCGGAGAACGCCGACGCCTACTTGTCCCACATCTGTCGCTCCGCCGCCAAGACGCGATTGATCTCCGCAATGGACTTTGTCAACCGACTCCGGCCTTCCCACTTGCGCTCCTTCTGGCCGGCCACGGCACGGACCAATTTTGCTCTGATCGGCTCCTTCGGGGTCCTCCTTCGCATCTCCGCCCCAACCAAGGAAGAAGCCGAATTCTATCGGCTGCGACTCTGCGAATACCGCTGGACGCTGAGCGTCAGCAAGAAGGATGCTGAGTTTTTGGAGTTTGCCTTGGAGAGTCTGGACAACGCGAACAATTTAGATCATTACGTTCCTGAAAAACCTGGCATCGATGAACTGATGACCAGCGCTGCCAAACCCACGACAATCAATCCCCCGCGCATGGGCGCCATGGAGGACTCAATCTTGGAGGCTCCGGACAGTGGTCTGGGTGGCACCTCCTCAGTCATCTCGGGATTGGCATCTCCAGCAACCTCTATCAGTGATGAGAGCCTGCAAGACTCTTCTATCCCACCTCTCTAGTCATCTATCCCTCTTCTTCTTCTCCCACCTTTCTCTTTTTGATGTTCCCCCCTAAAAGGAGATTCGCGATACCCCGGGCTTTACT